AGGAAGCTGCAGAAGTTTTGGAGGAGGTGGAGATGACTTGAGGGCTGGTGCTATTTACTGTAGATATATAAAGATATATATATATATTTTTTTTACATTGCTGTTTTATAAAACAGATAACAAACAGTCATTTTTTCGTAATTTAACATGTGTTTACCTGTGGAGGTGGTGGTATTCAAATTGCAGGGGGCAGGGACACCAGACGAGGCTGCTATGGTGGTGTGACCAGGGGAGACGGAGGAGGCAGTTGGTCCAGAGGAGGCCGTGTTGGTGGTGACAGACATGGGGGGTGGTGTGCATCGTGGTGGTGGTGGACAAAACCGCCGACGATGGCTTGGAGGAGCTGGTGTTTGTAATGGTGGGGTTGAGGGGCCGACGATGGTGTGGCCGGGGGAGTAGGCATGTGGCCTTCTTCTGCAGCTGGGGACTCTGGCGGCTCCTACAGGTGTTGCACACTGGGAGGCACTGGCAGTGGTGATGCAGCTGTCAGGAGTGGTTCCAGCAGGGGGTCCAGCAGAGGCGATGGCGTCAATGGTCTCATCCATGGCAGCCCTCTCCTGTGCCCTCTGTGTTCTGAGGGCTGCCCGACGCTCTTTCTCCTCTGCCCCGGCCCTCTCCTTCTCACCCCTCTCCTGCCACTGGCGCGTGTATTCCTCCCCGGTGAGGCATGTGGCGACCACAGGGAGTCTTCTGTATCGGTCTGGCCGATACTTCAGGACAGTAAGGATGTGCCCCAGGTCCTTCGCTATCAGCCCCCCCTCTATTAGGGGGTGCTCTTCTAGAGCTAGGGATAGGACTGGAGCAGCGGCTGGGACTGGGGCAGGGGCTGAGGGTCCTCCTGTGGTCGCTGGGGAGGAGGTGCTGATGGATGGCACATTGCTGCTGGTTCCAGTAGAGGCGGTGTTGGGACCCGGTAGGGTCCGAGACGGCATTAAACGGGACCCTTCAATGGCTGAAGGGTCAAAAGGGAAGAGGCCACACTTCTTAAACCCTTCCACCACATAGCGCATGTCCTTGCATCGCTGGTACGGGTAGCGGAATACTCTGGCAAATTCTGATTTGTTTACCATGTAGGAGTGGTCAAAATGGCTAAGGTCTCCAGCTACCTTGGAGAACTCAGCCTTTAAAGGGCCAAAGTATGCCACGTCCAGCGGCTGCAGGACATGGGTGCAGTGTGGTGGAAGACAAAGAAGTATAACCCCTTCCCTTAGTGCCACCGCGAGCACTTCCGGGTCCATGTGGCTCTTGTGCCCATCAAAGAGGAGAAGGAGAGGGCGCTCTTTCACTGCATACTTAATGAAGTGCTGAAACCACTTCCTGAACAGGTCCCCGTCAATGTAGCCACTGCTTGACCGTCCATACAAGGCTTGGGGGGGGCCTCCCAGTGTGTAGTGGCCACCGGGGAAACACTTGGGGTAGATGATAAACGGGGGGATGTCCTCCCCAGTTGCGTTGAAGCAGGCCAGCACTGTGATGTGCTCCTTGGTCCCCGGAGCCTGCTGGTACACGTGTTTTGCGCCCCGGGGAGCCAGCACTTTGTGCCTGCTCTGGTCGCTACGAAACCCAGACTCATCGCAGTTATAGATTTGTCTGGGTTTCTCCCTCAACCCACTCTCCTCCAAGTGCTTCTCATAAGAAGTGAAGAAGGTGTCCATCGTCGGACGTGTGGCACACTCAGCTCTCCCCCTGTCCAGGGTGTCCGGCCTCCTCATGCTTAGGTTCTTGTGCCTCCTCCTGAACATTTCCCACCACCTCTTCCCCAGTGGTGGGATTGTTTCCCCTGGGTGCCGAAACCTACAATAGAATAGAATATATAATTGTCCATCCAGGATGAAAATGTTTGTTTTGGCATCACCATCCACATTTACATCACACACATTGATAACAGTCAGTCCAGCATTCTACATACATAAACACATAGAACACCAAATACCTGCGTATTTTGTCTGCGTATTTCATCAGCCTCTGTCTGGTGAAGGGGAACCCATGGCTGGCGCAGTAGATACAGTACTGCACCAGAGACTTTTCATCCTCTGGTGCAAGCAATGTGGGTGGTCCACTGCGACAACCATGGGTCACCCGGCCGCTCAGCCTGTCCGCCAGGGTCTGCCGAGGTACACCATGCACCTTGGTAGATAAGAAAAGAAAACTGTTACTAGCAGATAAAATTCACATACACATGGTAATCTCCTAAAAACAAAAGATGCCTAACCTTGGCAGCCTGGCGGATAGCCATCCCTGCCCCGCAGTCCTCCATGGCATGGAACATGTCCACCTCACTCCACTGCTTCCTCTTGACTTTCTCCATGCTGCAGTGGTAAATACATGTAGCTAAATAACTTGGCATACTATACACATTTTAGAAAGATAACTCAATCTGAATATGTATAAACATTTACATTTCAAAGCTAAGGCATTGAAAGGTGATGAAAGTTTTCACAATAACTGAAAGTGTACCCACGTTTTTTGTTTGATGTTATCTGTAATGAAAATTAGTGTCCCAATTAGTGTAATATTGATGCATACATTGTACCATTTAACTAAATACTGCCTCTATGTAGCTGTTGTAAGATGAAATATAGCCAACAGTGATAGGTGTCGAAAAGTTCATGGTTCAAAGTTCAAAATAAATTTTTGCAGATTGTGCAAAACGCCTCCGTCAGAGGACTCCAATTTTGATACGGTAAAGCTTGACAACATGCAGCTGTTTTCGTCATATGTATTATCTAACACTTACAATTTCTTTCCTTTTTGCTTACTTAGCAGTTCTATCAACATTTAGCAACTAAGCTAGCAACATTAGAAAATCCGTTAGCTATATTTCAGAGGTAAAAAGTTGGATATTAAATTAGGTGTGGTCTGTCGCGCAGTCGAATTTTACAATATGCAGCGTGTTCCACAAACTGTGTACATATAACTTTTTTGAAAACTCTCAAAACCTAACTTAACTTACATAAATTGCACTGAAAATCGGTGGTCAGCTAGCTAAAAGGGTGTCGTTAGTCACAAAACTTACCGTTATTTTTCAGCCCATTTAAATGTTGAGCTCGAGGTGATTCAGTTCTCCAACCGCTAGAAAGTGTCCGAGGTCAGGGGGTGTCTGATGTTTGGGGAAAATTAGCTAGCTAGATTTTACTACAAATTGTATCCGAATCCAGGGCCATGTGTTCCATTTCAACAGAGAACGTACTGCTAGCTAACCGCGCGAAACTTTGCCTTTCAGTTTATCTTTAGCTAGCCAGCCTGTGGGAGGGCACTTCCATGTTGTAACTAGCAACTGTCTGTGTCAAACAGTGACATTATTAGCTAAAGTTGTTAATATTCATTGTGAGATTATAGTTAACAAATTACTACGAATACGCCCATCCCAGCTTCAGCGAACGTTAGCCAGCTACGTAACGTTAACTAGCTAACGTTAGCTAGAGCTTCTGGTGAGTAAAGTCGAATTGCTTGTTAGATAAATTAGCTGGACAGTTGAAATAATGGGTAGACTATTTAAATAATCCCTCGGGGTTAGCAAACTAACCCTGGGTGGGGGATTATTAGTTGAATTTTCAGGAACGACGTTAACGTAGTTAGCTAGCTGTTCAAAACAAAATACCTCAGATTTGGCTCGCAAGATAGGTACCGTTACATCTAGCCATTTTAGTAGCTAGCTACGTTGCCACCATGTAAACAAATAAGACCCTTCTGCTCTTCGGAGGCAAAACGGAATATTTGATTCATTCCGATCATAAACGCAAGTATACCAATTCGGTTAGCTCGTAGAGGCGGCTAAACTGTCCTGGATCGAAGACTAGCTAACGTTAGCTGCTGGCTAAATGTGGCTGACCAGCTAGCAGCCACCGTCAACTAGTAAATCCGGAATCGAATGCCTCGATGTTGACTAGCCGCTTATCTCAATGATTGTTGCTATTTATTTAGCTGAATCGTTGATATCGAGTGGGTAACGTTAGCTGCACCCATAGACTTTCTACTCCACAAAATGGGGTCTATTAACGTTTGTCTCCGCCATTTTGTGACAGAAATTTCTCTGAGCACAGGGGTACGTGTAATGGTTGAATGTAGTAACCTCGTCAAGAAGATATCCGCCTGGCAGTTACAGAAAAGGGATCATGAGCAATTTCCATTCATCTCAGGAGACACAAGTCATTTCTGAGTGCTAGGCTATTGGTTCCAACACCGGTGATAACCTGGTAGCCAGTTTCTCTCAGGCAAGGGCTGCAGATACTGGCATAAAGTAACATTACCAGCTATCTCCTATTAAGATATGACATAATATGGCATTATCACTTTGAAATTGTAGCTAGATTTGGTAGAAAGGAGAGTTGCGACTATTGAAACATCCAGGTGATGTCGTTATCACAATATAATCAAGAGAAAGTATTTGTGAACAAACAGTAATGATAGCTACATTATTATAACGTGTCTTCATTTCTACATTGACAGTTTAGAGTACCGCCCTGGGCCCAGCCAATTTCGTTATGAACTGTCACATTATTGATACAAGTGTAAAGCACTGTGGTGTAATGGGATACTGTTATTGGCATTGAGATAATGAATATCATGAACCACTCATTTTGTGGATGAAATTAGAAAACACGGAATTTACTGTGGTGACTTTATGAACTGTAATGATTAGTCTACTTATCTAAGAATATTCTGAGAAAGTCACTTCACCGAACTTTACAATTTAGATGAAACCATTACACTACTTGGAAATTAATTGCATGTCAGTTGCATCTAATATTGATCAACATATAGCCCATTTTGAGAATAAAATAGGGCTATCACAGCATAGGAAAATGTCTGTGAAAACTCTGAATATTCTATTTTGAATGGTTGTCAACTTGTCATATTAGAATTGTTATAACTTATCCAAAAGCTCCCCTCCCCCAAGAACAGTTGTAATTTTGTTCCGTTTGAACGGGTCTCGTAAATTTCAGATGAGCCCTAAAAAAGACAACATTGTCTATTGTTCCTATAAACCGCTTTGGACAGTGTAATACCGTTGTTTCTAGTAGAGGGCGCTGCGTGGCAGTACGAGCTCGAGGCCTCAGATCTTTTTGTCTGGAACTGGATCCCGCTGCCGCTCTACAGTGTGTGCGATTGTTTGGAGCCGCGTCCGTAACACACTGTCAAACCACTCCAAACGAACACATTTGCTACCAAAACTATAAATTTAGCATATTTTACAATGGCAGTTTTAGTTTGCCGTTGAAGTCGGTCGTTATTCTGGCTGAGTGTTTATTACAACTTACTGAATCGGCTTGTTTTCTGTGTGTAGCTGTGCATCAGTCTTTATTAGCGAGCTGGCGCTCTGCTTGCTATTAGCTATTTCTTTAACTTTTTTTTAAACACTCAGCTTCGCGAATGACTGAGCGCCGGCGGAGTATGGGATCCTTGGTGTCTTAGGAAGCGAGTGAGTGGGCGTTTTAACCGTTTTTACATGCAAAAACAATGGCAAATTCGACGGGGAAAAATTTACTAGATCAGCGAAGGAAAGGACTGGCTTTCCTGGACGAGCTGCGGCAATTTCACCGAAGCAGAGGGTGAGAATGGGGCGTTTAAATACACCTTTAAAAATCATGTACATATGACTATGGATGCTTACAAACTATTAGTAATACTATTCTCCATGTATTTTATGATTTTTTCCATCAGATCGCCGTTCAAGAAGATTCCTATCGTGGGTGGGAAAGAGTTGGATCTTAATGCTCTCTATATCAGAGTCATTTCGTTAGGTGGATTTGCTAAGGTGAGTGGAACTAAAAGTGCATTTTCGCACTCTCGGTTTTCAGTGAAGTCTTCAGTGAACGGTTAGAGAACACTCTTTCCGCATCCCGAAGAGCTATTTCATACTAAAACGGCTGTAGGAGAGATAGGATTGCGGTCGGCCTTGTGCTAGTTTGCCATCTGTGCAATGTGGTGGCTTGTGTTGTGTATGGTTTGAATTGAAAGTCCGTACGGGTAGCTGCACGGCTCGGAGTCTGAGTGCAGTTAGAGCAACTCAAAATTAGCGGGCACGTTTAACATCGATTATCCGGCACAGAGCACTGGCTAGGAAGAACTATTCGCCGCGGGGGATAGGTACCATTTTGTGTAACTAGATTTTTTACGATAATTTGGGGGAAGGTAGTTATTCGCATTGGCCATCTTTGGCTCTATGGCTGAAGACAAATGTAGGCCGCACACAGGCCTATTTATTGAAAACTGTAAATGTGAAAATAATTCCCCAAATAAAGAATGCTCGCCATCATTCCATCATTGCTAGTAGCATTGTGTTGAAGCGGGTCATAGTTGTCTCGAGCTTTGGTAGCTACCACATTTAGCCTGCACGCTTGGCTTGCCAGAAAAGTAATGTTAGCCTGATTGCTAACACTAGCTAGTAAGTAAGCCATCCAGTTCAAGCTGTAGCTAGCTGTGAGTTGTTGCTTGCGGTGATAACTAGATGGCTAACAAACATGGAATTAAATACACAGTACTAGCTAGTGACAGTATCTAACATTAACATCTTATTATTAGATGATAATCAGGTTGTTTATCACTATCGAATCCATATTTTATGCATCCTGATATTGTTTAATAAAAAATATATAACATCCGTAATTTGCTTTACAGGTTTCTGACAAGAATCAGTGGTCTGAGTTGGGTGAAGATTTTAACTTTCCAAGGAGTTGTTCAAACGCAGCATTTGTTTTAAAACAGTACTACCTTCGGTAAGTGGCATGGTCTTGCATTAGCTACTACACTCAGACAGCATGTGGCAAATGTTTACAAATTGTGAGAGGCTGGAAGCAGGAATGGACCATGCAACAATCCAGCGTTACTGACGGTTTTAAAGATGTTGAACACGGAAAACAAAAACACTATACTGGACCTTACACTGGCTGCAATGCTTATGCCTCATAACAGTATGCTTTGACCTAACATTTAGTCAACTTTACTGGGTTAATGCAGATCACAATTTGTTTTATTGTATGCTATGTCTTACTACTGGGGATTCTGCCATACATCTTCGCTTTGTAGATTTAAACTATTAGTAAGGGACATGATCTGGCTAAGTTACTGAATGCTGGCTGGTCATCGATCTGTCATGGATTGTCATTGAATACGCTAGCCGTTGCCATAACTATGCAATCAGCAGCACGTTACCCTAAACACCTTTTGCCCTAGGTGGGCGGCAGGTAGCTTAGTGGGTAAGAGCGTTGTGCCAGTAACTGAAAGGTCGCTGGTTCTAATCCCCGAGTCGACTAGGTGAAAAATCTGTCGATGTGCCCTTAAGCAAGGCACTTAACCCTAATTGCTCCTGTAAGTCGCTCTGGATAAGAGCGTCTGCTAAATGACTAAAATGTAAATGTTTCACCAGCAGCAAGCCCATGGACAGTGTGGAGCTGCTTCTCTGCTCAAGTCTCCTTTTCCCTCCAAAATATTGCCACGGGCACCTGCTTTTAAGAGGATGGATCACATTCACCAGTCTAACCTGGAGGCTGCTTATATGACCCTGCTTTGCGAGTTATTTGAAGCAGCATATCTTTAAAAGTCCTGTTGCCTTAATCACCTTTCTTCACATTTTGGGAATGGTTGAAGGAGCAGTAGGTCAACATAGTCTGCAAGTAACCAATCATGTAGGCATGTCATCAAAAATGTATGCACGCATGACTGTAAGTCGCTTTGGATAAAAGCGTCTGCTAAATGGCATATTAATTTTTAATATTAATCAATTCTAAACAAGGTTCATACACTCTACCGAAGTATCATCATACCTGCCTAAAGATATGGCTTATGAATTTGAACAACTCGTCATAGACCTAAAGATGTTATTGCCTTCCTCTCTTAAGTCATCATGGGATTTTATATAGGCCCTACATGCAGTCAACGATAGGCCAAGCACTGTAATGAAGTGTTTCCAAATGGTGCTGGTTATTCCAGTATTTTTAGCAAAGGATTTCATTCTTGCCATCAAATTAACAATAGTAAAGCTTGATACCCTACAAGTATATTTGAACATTGACTTTCCATGCAAAGAAAACTGCTGATTTGATATTGGGCAGGCAATTTCACCCTATGAGGTGTGGGTGCAGGCCGTTCTAGCCCAGCTGCAACAGCTGATTCTACCAACCAACAAGGCCTAAATGTTCTTCAACCAAGAAACAGGTGTGTTGCTGCTTGGCTGGAACAAAAGCCTGCACCCAGTGAGACTTTTCTCCTTTCAAATTGTCATTTGAAGAGTCATAGGAAGAGTCATAGGCTAACTTAGGACATAGCCTAATGCAGGGCGCTACAACGCAACCATTTTACTCGCATATGCGCCTAAATATGTTGCTGTGCGACCTGGAATTTTTATTTAGCAGCACCAGTGCGCCTAGAAGAATGAAGGATTCTAGCATTATTACATCAAATATTTGTAGTTGTGCTCCTAAATATCTTTGTGCGCCTGCCTATATTTTCCAACTTAGGTCCACATGTGCTCCTTGTAAAAAAGGTCTGCGTAGAGCCCTGTAATGTAAAACAATATTTGACTGAAACACAGCAATATAAATAGCCTAACTGATAGCACATCAGCAGGTTTGAAGGAGTTGTTGGGAGCTGCCCAGATGCATGATTTAGTTTGCTTCATATTTTCAAACAAATGCACAGGCCTAACCCATTTCAAGCATGCCTTTAACCTGACTGCCTGAAACTTCTCCTGGATTTTACCCCATGACAGCCCACCATGGGATCACATGGTAGTTGTAGACCAGAATGGTCAAACTATTCCTTGGAAGATTTCTTCATAACTTTTATATAGGATGTTTATTTTACCATAGTCCTGCGTCTTTACCAAACAAATTGAATCGGCCAGGTTAAGACAGCCTTCTACTGTCGGCGCAGACTGGTGTAGCCCAATGCCAGGTCTCTCTTATAAGGGCAAGCAAGCCTGTAATGGTCAAACTTATTAGAACCAAAGAGCCCTCAGGTTTAACTGGGAGATGTAGCTCAATCCCATCTCGTTCTTAAGGGCAAACCCAGAATATTCAGAAATGTATTGGAAGTAGGGAGTCCTTTGTTCGCTTGAAAGTCTTCTTGTACCACTAAAATGAACGTTGCCAAGGGCAAGGCACTTGAAAATAGTAAGTAGTCCTACAACCTGGGAACCTGAGCAATAGACTCAATAGTTGACCTTCGATTATCATTAAAAACAACGGGAATAAAAAAATCTACCTATGAAAGACTTGTCCCAAACATGGAATAAATGAGGTTGTTGTAGTGTGACTTGAATTGTGCCTCACAACATGATGGTTGCATCACAAGTTCAACAGTCTAGTGGTTGCTTCCCCTTGTATCCGTTTATCTGCATTGGTACATGGGGGTAAGCAATAATGATGTGCCTACTGCGCACAGTAAATTAGCTTTTGTCTGTCCATTTCCTTCACCTTAGTTCAGGTGCAGGAGAGGATGTCTCTTAAGACTGAGATGCAGCTTGTGAATAGGCTGTACCCAACATGATGTTGTTAGCACTGTGATGCCCATGACAAAATAAGAGCTGGATTAGAACTACTCCGCTGTTTTCTTTTTCTTGCATAAGTGAAGTCCGAGGCAATCAAGTTGTCTCATTCACACAGCATTTGCTGGTGAGATTAGCCTTGGCACGTGAACAAAGGTGAAACGCGGCCACAGCGTTTAGAGATCTAGTGTTACCCGCTGTCCCCTGATAACTGTACGTCTCTCTCTGATGCTAAATAGAGGGTGCTAAAATGATGTAGCAAAACTGATGTATCAGCGAGCTACAGAAAACGCAGGCTGCAAGCGAGGCTGCTGAAACTTTGGAAATGCATGTTATTTCAACAAGATATTGCAGACAAGGTCAACAGTTCCCTGGTGTAACCTAAGCTGTGTATACCATAGTAATTTTTATGACAATTCAGTTTGCTTTCTAAACCAGTATCATATAAATTAGGGCTGTGACGAAACAAGTATTGTGATATTTTTTCCATGGCAAAAATGAAAACACGAAGCAGACAACTCTTTGGTGTTTTAAAAACCTGCTTTATGTAAAGTATTGTGTGCTATAGCTTGGAAAATACACTGAACAAAAATATAAACGCAACATGTAAAGTGTTGGTCCTATGTTTTATGAGTTGAAATAAAGGATTCCAGAAATGTTCCATATGCACAAAAGCTTATTTATCTCAAATTGTGTGCACAAATTTGTTTACATCCCTGTTCGTGAGCATTTCTCCTTTGCCAAGATAATCCATCCACCTGACAGGTGTGGCATATTAAGAAGCTGATTAAACAGCATTATCATTACACAGGTGCACCTTGTGCTGGGGACAAAAGGCCACTAAAATGTGCAGTTTTGTCACAAAACAAAACGCCACAGATGTCTCAAGTTTTGAGGGAGTGTGCAATCGGCATGCTTACTGCAGGAATGTCCACCAGAGCTGTTGAAATAATTGAATGTTAATTTCTCTACCATAAGCCGCCTCCAACGTCGTTTTAAAGATTTGGCCAGTACGTCCAGCCGGCCTCAACCTCAGACCGTGTGTGTGCGAGCGGTTTGCTGATGTCAACTTGTGAACAGAGTGCCCCATGGTGGCGTTGGGGTTATAGTATGGGCAGGCATAAGTTACGGACAACGAACACAATTGCATTTTATCAATGGCAATTTGAATGCACAGAGATACCATGACAAGCTCCTGAGGCCCATTGTCGTGCCATTCATCCGCCGCCATCACCTCAAGTTTCAGCATGATAATGCACAGCCCCATGTCATAAGGATCTGTACACAATTCCTGGAAGCTGAAAATGTCCAAGTTCTTCCATGGCCTGCATACTCACCAGACATGTCACCACCCATTGAGCTTTTTTGGGATGCTCTGGATCGACGTGTATGACAGCCTGTTCCATTTCCCGCCAATATCCAGCAACTTCGCACAGCCATTGAAGAGTGGGTCCACAGGGCACAATCAACAGCCTGATCAACTCTATGCGAAGGAGATGTCTCACTGCATGAGGCAAATGGTGGTCACACCGAATACTGACTGGTTTTCTGATCCACGGCCCTACTTAAAAAAAAAAAAAGGTATCTGTGATGAACAGATTCATAGATTAGGGCCTGATGAATTTATTTCAATTGACTGATTTCCTTATATGAACTGTAACAGTAAAATCTTTGAAGTTGTTGCATGTTTATATATTTGTTAAGTATTTTTTTTTAAATGTGACTCTGGATGACATGTTTGTTTCCAACTTTTGGTGTGTTTTCCTAAAGAAGTTAAATCCGCTTCGTGTTCTGTTTCCTTGCCACAATACTAATGAGTATGGTGATACTGGTATCGTCCCGCCTAATATAAATATCTGGATTAGCTGTTTTCTATCCTCAGATGTAGGCCTAAAGGTAACAATCCGCTAAAGTTGCATCACGCCATAGTTCCCCACTTAGGTCGAAAGGACAAACTGCTGCGAATGATGGGAAGCAGAAGTTGTTCACTATGAAGAAGGTGCACCCGGGAACCGCTGTCTAAGAACAGCAGCTCTCCCTACTCCAAATCCTATTTCTAATGCCATACTTCTTTCTGGCATACATTACAAGACTTGACAGGCAAGTAGGCCTAACTTTGTGTGTTGGACAAAGGAAACTATAGAAAGTCTTGAATGCAATTTGATTACAGGTGAAGCGCCATGATTATTTGTTTAGGTTTTGTTCTGGTTTTCCGCCACTGTGTGAGGCTACAGCTGGCTCTCCCTCAGCATTCCCCCTTATTTTGTCACTGGTTATCTGCTTGCCAAGCCTTTCTCTTGACTATTTTTGAAATTGTAAAGCCTTGTATCAGCAACAATAGCTAGGAGAGGTTTTGAATCACAGATAAAACAGTCCAGAGGTGGGGATTGGAGATGTTGGGACTAGTGAAAGCTATCCGAGGTAGGCAACCTACTACTACTACTGGCCTAGGATTGGGCATGCAGTCCCAATTTTCTTTGACCGTAGTAAGCTCTCTGCAGATCACACAAATGTTTCAAATTAAATGTTTCTGTTGGATAAAGGGAGAGACTTTATAACTCTGCATCACGGAAAATGTATTTGGGGGGCTGACAAATTTAACTTACCTGCCATTGTCGTTACGTTAAGCATGATTTTGAGGCCAAAGTGTTTTAATTTTTTGGCTAATCACATTATGTTCGCTTTGTTGTGATTTCCACATTTGATTGTAGGTGTTAGTTTTCTTCTCGGTATAGTTTACCATTGTCTCCCCCAGTCCAGTTTCTTGTCCACAACTAGTACTTGGATTTCACCGCCCCCATTCTCAGTAGTGGTCTGTATATAGTGTTTTCATATATTATTTTATCAGCCATAAAACCAGCCTGTGGATTGACATAGCTTTGGGCTACATAATATGGATTTGTAATGTTGGTCATTGGTCCCTATTGTATGCCCTCATGTTTAAGAAGTTGTCTCTGTCTGCTCAAATGGATCTGTGCAAGCATTGAATTTAAAGCTACAATAATATATATTCACCTGTTATAGAACAGTAGGAATGCCAGTTAGTTTACTCAATCTGATTGTGTGTTTTATATGTGTGCTTGTCCAACAGGGGGCACCTAATTCTCTCTCTCACACACACGCTCACTGAGGCAGACATTATTGAGAGGTTTGCTCTTATGTCCTGTCAGCTCTTGTATGATCCGGACGACTTTAAATGACATCAGTTCACAAACAAACAGTCACCATTTGCAGTGGTAGATCTATGGCTTCAGTTCCCTACATTTTAATCTTGTTTTTTACATTTTTTTGCTGGGGACAAAAATGACAGTTAAGAGCACTGTTCCACCTTAACTGCTTGTTTTTCCCATGCTGATGGTATGACACCTGCGATGACATGATTCTTAAATGTCACCTTGATTAGACACTGATAAAATGAGAAGGCCTCTTAGTTCCGTGATGCTTTTCTGTGCCAGTCTCTGGCTGTTGTCTTGTCAGAATAATGGGAGCGTTTTGCCTGCCATGTATGAAAAGGGAAGTGTAGACATTAGCAGCTGCAACAGACCCCCCCCCCCCCCCCCCCCCCCCCATCCTCCTCTCTCACCACACATCCCGCCTCCCCTTCTGCCCGTGCCCAGACAAATGTGTGATGATGCTGTGCATGGCCGGGGCCTCTCCAAACGGAGAGTTGGTGTATTTATAGTCCAGTGTATCACGCGCCGTGGACGGGGGATTACCTTGGCCGCGGCGAACCAGCAGCAGCACTGGGACTCCGTTCAGAAGGGGCTCTCACTCAGTGACTCACGGCAGCACACACACTCCACGCTTAGCCAGGGCTTTCCATGCCACCACTGCAGCATGTGTGTAAACAAATGTTTAATGTGCATGTGTTGGTCCCTCCCTAGCTAAACATGTGAGGGAAGGCTGCAACACTTGTTAGACATTCTCAACCCAAGTAAGGTTTTGCAAAAAAAAAATATTTATTTTTTATTTTTTGATAGACTAGACTTTTCTGTCTGTGCTGGTGATAAGGTCATATCATCCCCACCTGTGTCACATCCAGTGGTGGAAAAATTACCCAATTGTCATACTTGAGTAAAAGTAAAGATACCTTAATATCTTTGCTAGGTCCTCTGTAGCTCAATTGGTAGAGCATGGCGCTTGTAACGCCAGGGTAGTGGGTTTTATCCCCGGGACCACCCATACGTAAAAATGTATGCACACATGACTGTAAGTCGCTTTGGATAAAAGCGTCTGCTAAATGGCTTGTTGTTGTTATTATTATATTATTATTAGAAAATGACTGAAGTAAAAGTGAAAAGTCACCCAGTAGAATACTACTTGAGTAAAAGGCTACAATTATTTGGTTTTAAATATACTTAAGTATCAAAAAGTATGAATAATTTAAAATTCCTTCTATTAAGCAAACCAGATGGTGAAATTTTCTTGTTTTTAACATTTACGGATAGCCAGGGGCACACTCCAACACTAAGACATCATTTACAAATGAAGCATTTGTGTTTCGTGAGTCCACCAGATCAGACGTAGTAGGTGTGTGAATATAAGTGTGTGTACTTTACACCACTGGTCATTTCCGTGTTGAATATTAAAATATTAATTAAGACTGGTAGTGACACTTGATAAACTAGTTTGCCCTAAGCAATAGGGCACAAAGGATTCATCACTTGTACTCTGCTTAAACACTTGCACTGTCATGCAGATGGTGTAACTCCTGTCTTTTGATTTTGATTTCTGAGTCAGCTAGGTGTAAACATAATTATTTCATCATAACCGATGGTCTCTATGAATAGGAACTTGGATAGGATTTTATCCCCCACTGGCAGTATTTTTCATGTCATGCTTTGTGGTGTAGTCATTCATATTCACTCTGTCGATAGAAGTAGGCGGGAGATATTGGTTGTGTTGTAAGTCCCGTTGTAGTTTGTTCCAGTCTGCAGCAGCCAAGTAGTCAAATTGCTTTGCGACTGGATTTTGAATAGGATGTGGGCACAGACAGCCTGAAAACAATAGTGTTGTCTGTAGGAGGACTTTGAAAATGTTAGGAGTTTGCAGAAGTAGGCTGGTGAGTCTTTATAGGCCAGAGTGTAGCCTACCAGTTTAACTGTTGGATTGCAAGCCTTAACCAAATTCCTCAGAGTGGCTGTCATAAAGAACTTCAGTGGCAAATGATATGGTGGGAATGACCCAGGGGGTCCAGTTTTGTTATCAGGGATTTGGAGGCACAACGGTTAATGGTGAAGCCACAGTCAAAGGATGCAGGACTTATCCTAGCTAGGGAGATTTGAGGATCGGGTGAAACAGGATTATCTGCTATAGAGAGGCCATTCTAGATGAGATTTTGTCTTTTGAGAACTGTTGTGGGATGCTGGGATTCATCAAACCAATTGGCTCAATTGGAATGTTATTTGTGTTGAGGGTGCATCCAGTTCAGGTTGGGGCAGAGGTGTTGATAGTATCATCAGCATAAAGATGGATTGAGCTTTGGATACAGTATTGCCAAGATTACTGGACCAAGGGAGGAGCCTCCTTGAGGGACTCCTTTTGTTTATAATCAAGGTTAAGGTGTGAGTTTTTCATTTTGGGAGTAATCGCTGAAGTAGCCTGAGTTCGATCAACCATCAAATGCTTTAGAGAGGTCAATGAATAATACAGTGCAGGTATGTTTCTTGGCAAGGGAGGGGAAAATATAATGTATAACTTTTGCAGTAATGCAGTACAGATCGAAATTCAGAGAAGATGCTGTTGCTGCTCAGGTAGTTGGTATACTATTTCCTCAATGATCTTGGTGAGGCAGAGCAGACTCGATATAGGCCAGTAACAGTTATGATCAGTAATGCTACCGCTTTTGAACTGTGGGTGAACAAAGGCAGATATCCAGTCTTTGTGAATAGTAGCAGACCGGATAGGTTGAATAGATGGGTGGATGAGAAGACATGATGGGGGCAACTAATTTCAGGAAGGACACCTTTTACATCAGTTTTTATCCCAAAACCTCACACTGGGGAGGACTTCTTCCTTTAGACACAGGAGTGAAGGAGACTGTGCAGGTGGGAGTAGGAATAGGTGGGGTCATGGGTCAGTCACCCTCTGAGCGTTAATTAAGTTGTCTTTTGTCTACAGATATTTAGAAAAGTATGAAAAAGTCCATCACTTCGGCGAAGATGATGACGAGGTGCAGCCTGGGAACCCAAAACCATCTCTTCCAATTGGTGCAATCCCCTGCTCCTACAACTACCAGCAACATACTGTATCAGGTAAGACTTTCCCTCTTTTACAACGTGTCTTCAAACAACCACAAAGCAATACAGAAGTTCGCCCCAAATCTTGTTGGTTGGGCTAGGAGTTGAAATACAATACAGATTCTTGAAGGGAAAGCCCCATATTTTGCTTTCGAGCAAGTTCTTAAAGGGACAGTGGTGTATTTCAGGACGATGGCATATTCCAGGAAACAAACAGAAATGAAAGTATGATAAAAACTGAAAGTTTCTGATTGACACTTTGAGAAGAGTGATTTTATTGGACACGTATCTGTGAGGTAAGGCTGGGTAATTGCTCGTGATGTGGGAATAAATAGATAGTTAGATATTGGGGTATCGTTTTAACAATATCGCAGTATTATTTTTGAGCTAGTTGGCTGTACCTGCCCCAAAACTCCCGTATATTTCCTTGATAGCTTGTTCTCATCTTTTCAGCAATTTTATTTCCTTGACTGATCAAAACGTGTTTTCTCATGGCTCTCTCTTGTCCTTCTGCAGCAGACATATGGTGACCAATATATTTGGAACATCAAATCGCAATAGAATCACAGTATCGGATCGCAATACATTTAGAATCGCAATAGATATTGAATCGGCACCTAAGAATTGTGATAATATTGTATCGTGAGGTCCCTGGCAATTCCCAGCCCTAGTAATTGCCAGGGACCTCACGATACGATATCACAATACTTAGGTGCCGATATGTATTGCAACTATATATGTATCACGATTCTATATGTATTGCAATTCGATATTTCAATTCTATGTTCCAAACATATGCATATACTGTATGTCTGCTGCAGCGGGACAAGAGAAAGCCATGAGAAAATGAGTTTGAGGTTAAAGTGCTCATGTTGTTGGCTCACCATTTAAAAAAAAAAAAACATTTAGCGTGCATCAATTTTTTGTTGTTGTGTGTATTAAAAGAAGATGGAGAAAAAGCTATAGGATGATAAATACCAGAGTTGTGGGGCAGGTACACCCGACTAGCGCTAGCTACAGTGGGGAGAACAAGTATTTGATACACTGCCGATTTTGCAGGTTTTCCTACTTACAAAGCATGTAGAGGTCTGTAATTTTTATCATAGGTACACTTCAACTGTGAGAGACGTAATCTAAAACAAACATCCAAAGAAAATCAAAATTGTATGATTTTAAAGAAATTAATTTGCATTTTATTGCTGACATAAAGTATTTGATACATCAGAAAAGCAGAAACTTAATATTTGGTACAGAAAAACTTTGTTGCAATTACAGAGATCATACGTTTCCTGTAGGTATTGACCAGGTTTGCACACACTGCAGCAGGGATTTTGGCCCACTCCTCCATACGACCTTCTCCGATCCTTCAGGTTTTCGGGGCTGTCGTTTGGCAATAGGACTTTCAGCTCCCTCCAAAGATTTTCTATTGGGTTCAGGTCTGGAGACTGGCTAGGCCACTCTCCAGGACCTTGAGATGCTTCTTACGGAGGCACTCCTTAGTTGCCCTGGCTGTGTGTTTCGGGTTGATGTCATGCTGGAAGACCCAGCCACGACCCATCTTCAATGCTCTTACTGAGGGAAGGAGGTTGTTGGCCAAGATCTCGCGATACATGGCCCCATCCATCCTCCCCTCAATACGGTGCAGTCGTCCTGTCCCCTTTGCAGAAAAGCTTCCCCAAAGAATGATGTTTCCACCTCCATGCTTCACGGTTGCGATGGTGTTCTTGGGGTTGTACTCATCCTTCTTCTTCCTCCAAACACGGCGAGTGGAGTTTAGACCAAAAAGCTCTGTTTTTGGCTCATCAGACCACATGACTTTCTCCCATTCCTCCTCTGGATCATCCAGATGGTCATTGGCAAACTTCAGACGGGCCTGGACATGCGCTGGCTTGAGCAGGGGGACCTTGCGTGCGCTGCAGGATTTTAATCCATGACGGCGTAGTGTGTTACTAATGGTTTTCTTTGAGACCGTGGTCCCAGCTCTCTTCAGGTCATTGACCAGGTTCTGCCGTGTAGTTCTGGGCTGATCCCTCACCTTCCTCATGATCATTGATGCCCCACGAGGTGAGATCTTGCATGGAGCCCCAGACCGAGAGTGATTGACCGTCATCTTGAACTTCCATTTTCTAATAATTGCGCCAACAGTTGTTGCCTTCTCACCAAGCTGCTTGCCTATTGTCCTGTAGCCCATCCCAGCCTTGTGCAGGTCTACAATTTTATCCCTGATGTCCTTATACAGCTCTCTGGTCTTGGCCATTGTGGAGAGGTTGGAGTCTGTTTGATTGAGTGTGTGGACAGGTGTCTTTTTATACAGGTAACGAGTTCAAACAGGTGCAGTTAATACAGGTAATGAGTGGAGAACAGGAGGGCTTCTTAAAGAAAAACTAACAGGTCTGTGAGAGCCGGAATTCTTACTGACGTTAACAACCAAGCAAAAAATAAATACCTTTAACAATAGTCACAGTAACGATTTGTAAAACTGGCAAAAATAATATTGCGATACTCTACTGTATCACTACTGTGAGGTAAAGCAACCACCCTTTGGCGCGATCTGATCGATTTGATGTAATCTTGATGATAAACTGTGGATTTTTGGATGCTGTGAAAGAAAGAAATAAAAGTACTCTTAGGTCAGAGGACAACCTTGGTGCAAGTTTATCAAGGTGGATATTTCTTCAAGTACATTTCTTCAAGTATCGAGTGTTGGGGCTGTTGAAGAACACCGCTAACTCTGAATTTGAGTCAAAACTTTACGACTCCAATGGAAAAACATTATGGCTACCTTCAGCATTAAACTTCCTCTCAACAGTCTTGACTGGGAGTCCGAAGTGTCTCTCTCTTTACTCACAGCACACGTTTTTTTAGTCATCTGAGTTTGCATATACTGCAGACTTGTTTGCTTTGTCTTTTCAGACATAGTTTATTGCTCCTCAAAACGTAATCATAGATTAGATCAAGATAGAATTTGGCAGCACTTCTCCAAATGTTGCCATTTAGTTTGTCATAATGGTGCTGCTAGCCTGCTCCTACGGTAAAGCCTGCTCCTTATTTAAGAACTAATGGTAAGTGCTTTTAATACCGTTATACAGTTGCTTGAAGTGGCTATGGGCACAATGTGGGTGCTGCGCATTCATTCCTCTTTCATTTTTGGGTAATGAAAACTCAGAGGAGGATGTTAGCAGGCATTCAAGATCTTAAAATTGATGATGAAAGTAGCCTATATTCAAAGTTTAAAGGAGGAGTTCTAAGATTTGAGCTGTTGAAATGTGTTTCAGAACTGAGACACAATATACTTCATACTTTATTAGGGCTGCCACATTTATACTCTTTGTTTATGCGCGAACATATGGGCCTTTAAACCAGAGCTGTGCCACAAGACCCCCATCAGTAAGAGAGTATCTGAACTGAGGTTGTCGCGTTCCCAGGCATGCAGGCAATTTGCAACAGTGTGTTACCATGGTGCTGTGTGATGGTGCATTACCACCGTGCCCGCTGTGTGTGAAGTCGCTCTAGTTCAGGAGTGCTGTCAGCCACACACACACACACACGTGAAACAGATGCAGAGCTGGCGGCTGTGAGGAGATGGCTATTTATATCCCATTGATTGCACCTTAATCAATTTCTAATAACTGAAATATGCCATACAACCATTGCCATCCCAGCGAAGTTATGCCAAGAGACTGAGGTTTCAGGAAGTTGCACTTGTTAACCCCACCCCTGCATGTGACTTTAATCACTGTTTCCTATCTGTGAAGGCATATTCATTATCAGGCAGGTGTCCCAGTGCATGCAGTTGCAATAATTTTTCTGAGGTCTAAACTAATCAATCATAATTTCTCAAGGTCTTTATCGCAACATTGTAATGTTTTTGTATGTTTTCATCAGGCTTTCTTTACATTCACTTTGAAGTTGAAATTACAACTGGAATTGTGGTTGTTTTTTTGTCCCCAGACTATCTCCGCCAAAGCTATGGACTGTCCATGGAGTTCACGCCCCCATGCGACTACAACAAACTGGTGCTCTCTCTCCTGTCGGGCTTGCCCAATGAAGTGGACTTCGCAATCAACGTTTGCACTCTCCTCTCCAACGAGAGCAAGCATGCTATGCAGCTGGAGAAAGACCCCAAACTCATCACGCTGCTGCTGGCACATGCAGGCGTCTTCGATGACTGTACGTCTGCAACACCTCTAACATTCTTCATTAGTATCCAAATCTAGTTTTGCAGGACATTAATTAGAAATGTATGTGTGTTTTTGTAATTTATTGTCTACCATGGGAACTTGGTGGGGGAACTGTTGAGACAAAGTGGAAATAAGAAGAGAATTGTTGTTTATTCCCTTTCATTTGCCTGTATGAAGACTAGATGAGAGATTACCTTATTTAGAGTCTGAAGAAGGTTGTGTTCAATGAAAAAATCCAGGCTTTAACGCAACAATGTGAACACTGTGCATTCCTTTTCAAGGCACTGAATGTACATAGCCATGGCAGAAGCTTTTTTTTTAGTGAATCCTCAGGTGTGAAAGTACCTTCTGTCTCAGAATGTAAGGGTTGGAATGTTCTCTCTAACGGTACTCTTGTGAATTTGCAGCACTAGGCAGCTTCTCCTCTGTATTTGGGATGGACTGGAAGGAGCAAACCTCCCGGGACTTCATGAAGGTAGATTTGACTGAAAGACTCACTATGTATGTATACTATAGGTTTGCCATTAAAAAAAAAAAGAAAACGGTTGCCCTCCAGCTGTTCAGGGATCTTCGTGAATACGGTGTGATGTCTGGCCTCGCTGGAGAATATCAGCCTTAACTGCTCTTGTATTTTATAGCAATGCATCTTTTCGGCAGTCAGTATTTCAACAATAATCTGCGAATATGATTCTGCAGTTCTGGAAGGATGTGGTAGAGGATTCTGAAGTCAGGGACCTCATCTGGGACAAGACCAGCCCGACACAAGGTAAGCAGGTTATGATTAAAGACCCATTGCACAATCAATTCTTTTTTTCACAACAATGGGAGAAATGGCACGTCAAATAAATATTACGACAACATTGTGTTGTGGACTTTTTGCGTAATAAAGTATTTGAAGATTTCTCATACAAAAAATAGACTCTTAAAAGGCCATTGCTCTGACATGAAGATGTCCTTGGTGGATCAGACAGTCACTGTTCTCTCTGCTCTTCTCCCAGTGACAGACGGTACGTCGGGGGACGAGCGCTGGGGGGCCATCTTCCACCCTCCACGCAACCTAGGCATCGGCGACATCGAGGGTCAGCGGGTCCTGCAGGTGGGAGTCATCCTCCGCAACCTGTCTTTCGAGGAGGCCAACGTTAAACTGCTGGCTGCTAACCGCACCTGTCTGCGGTTCCTCTTGCTGTGCGCCCACTGCCACTTCGTCTCCCTACGGCAGCTGGGATTGGATACACTCGGCAACGTGGCCGCAGAGGTGAGGTGTTTTTACTGTTATATTTATGTTCTGAATGTTATTATTTTGTGCAGTGTTGAGCTATTTCATTACATGAATTAGTACTATTTAGTATAATATGGTATAATGTTAGACGAGGCTGTAGCTGTTCCAGAGCATTTGTGTTATTGATGATTACCATGAATGAATATCTGTTTTCTCTCCCAATAGCTTCAGTTAGATCCGGTTGACTTTCGAACAACCCACCTAATGTTTCACACCATCACCAAATGCTTGATGTCAAGGGACAGGTTCCTGAAGATGAGGGGTGCGTGTCAGCCCGTACTGTGTCTTTGTCAGTGTCTGGGTCTTTTGTTAATACAAATGCAATGTCGTGTTTATTTTTATATCACTGGCCTTTTAATGTGAAAGCAACTTCATGTCTTTATGTAACAATGGTAAGCATGAATTGTGATAAAGGTCAAAGTGTAGATTGTCCCAGAGCCTGACCATTTGTTCCTCCTCCCCTCAGCCATGGAGATCCTGGGTAATCTGAGCAAGGCGGAGGACAACGGCGTGCTGATCTGTGAGTACGTGGACCAGGAGTCGTACCGGGAGGTCATCGGCCTGCTGTCGCTGCCTGACCTCATGCTCCTCATGTCCTCCCTGGAGGTCCTCTACCTGCTGGCCCAGCTGGGGGAGATCCCCTGCAGCAAGATCGCCTCTGTGGACAGGAGCATAGGTGAGCTACCAACAACCTAGCCCTAACCAGGGGGAGGGTACCAGTAACCTAGCCCTAACCAGGGGGAGGGTACCAGTAACCTAGCCCTAACCAGGGGGAGGGTACCAGTAACCTAGCCCTAACCAGGGGGAGGGTACCAGTAACCTAGCCCTAACCAGGGGGAGGGTACCAGTAACCTAGCCCTAACCAGGGGGAGGGTACCAGTAACCTAGCCCTAACCAGGGGGAGGGTACCAGTAACCTAGCCCTAACCAGGGGGAGGGTACCAGTAACCTAGCCCTAACCAGGGGGAGGGTACCAGTAACCTAGCCACTAGTCAGGATCGAGGATACATGCAGTAGTATAAACAACCAAGCCAGAATGGAGGGGATGGAGAACCGTCTAACCAAGATAAAGTGTAGGTATAGCATTAACAACTTGGCTAATGGAGTGTTTGGGTACAGTTTGATTATAGTCTCTTAACACGGCACAGCAACCAAGCTGCATGAATTGACAAACAAACTGGTTGCACAAAATATATTAGTCTCTTGGAGGAATAGGAAATTCAATGATTTTCAGAATTGGGAAATCAAAAACAACCGTCATGCAACAATTTAGACATACATTATTAAACTGTGTATTTGTGTCTCCCTGGGCAGATCTGCTGGTGCGGCTGGTGTCAGTGGACCTGCACACGTTTGGTCCGGACGCGCTGACGGCCGTGAGGCTGATGGAGCACCAGGCTGCTGGGCAGAGCCAGGTGGCCGAGGTGCAGCCCCAGCTTGTAGAACAGCTGCCTGCTCCGCTGCAGGGCGCACCCATCCCAGGTGAGCATCTTAACACTTAAACCCTGTCCCCTGATCTTCAAATGCACATTGAAATGAAATGAAGCCAGGTTATATTCGTGTTGTACATTTAAATCAGATTTTAGAGCAAGCAGTGTGAGGGCAATAATTAGCCTTATGGTATAAAGGAAACGTTCCCTGAGACAATGGCCTGAGATTATAGGCTCAGCTCTGTTTAGCCTTGCTCCTTGTCCGATTGTCGTGTACGTTAGAGACTGATCGAAAGCTGACAGCTCATCAGTATACGCCTCCCATAAGCCTCTGCATCCACACTTGTCTGTAGAGACGTTCCATCCGTTGGTGCTTTAGATCCATGGATGATCAGGCAAAATGGTGTAACCCATGTTGTATGCAATCAATCAGCTAAAGTTGACATTGGCATGAGGTGCTAGGAATAATTCAAGCTAGGGTAAACATAGCAGTCTGATTGTACAGTACTGTGACTGCGACCTAGTGGGCAAAATGAGGAACAACACACTAAACACACCATGTACGGGAGCACTCTGTCCTGCCGACAGTTCAGTCTCACATTTACATTTACATTTTAGTCATTTAGCAGACGCTCTTATCCAGAGCGACTTACAGTTAGCACATACATTATTTTATCGAACCCACAACCCTGGCGTTGCAAACGCCATGCTCTACCAACTGAGCTACATCCCCTGCCGGCCATTCCCTCCCCTACCCTGGACGACGCTGGGCCAACATCAGAACAAGTGTTTTCAGCATAGACAATGGCTTTATTCAAAAACTTTTGTAAATTGATGAAATTAGACTCACTAATTCTCTCATCTCTCACTTCAGCAGCAAGAGTCCCTGTCCAGTCCCCCCCTCCTCCACCTGGTATTGTTGAGCTAGATGGGGAGAAGTTTACAGTGCAGTGGTGAGTCTCTCTCTCTCTCTCTCTCTCACTCTCTCACACACACACACCCCCTCTCATAGTCATGCTCTCTCTGTGACACCTCTTAGCTTCTCACAGTTTCTCTGTAAATTGAACGGTAGTTCTCGGTCAAGCAGTCAGCTTGCGGGTCACCATTTGACCCCTGACAGGGGTGGCAGCATCATGCTGTGGGGGTGCTTTGCTGCAGGAGGGACTGGTGCACTTCAAAAAATAGATGGCATCATGAGGAAGGAAAATTATGTGGATATATTGAAGCAACATCTCAAGACATCAGTCAGGAAGTTCAAGCTTGGTCGCAAATGGGTCTTCCAAATGGACAATGACCCCAAGCATACTTCCAAATTTGTGCCAAAATGGTTAAGGACAACAAAGTCAAGGTATTGGAGTGGCCATCACAAAGCCCTGACCTCAATCTTATAGAAAATGTGTTGGCAGAACTGAAAAGGCGTGTGCGAGCAAGGAGGCCTACAAACCTGACTCAGTTACACCAGCTCTGTCAGGAGGAATGGGCCAAAATTAACCCAACTTATTGTGGAAGGCTACCCGAAACGTTTGACCCAAGTTAAACAATTTAAAGGCAATGCTACCAAATACTAATTGAGTGTATGTAAACTTCTGACCCACTGGGAATGTGATGAAAGAAATAAAAGCTGAAATAAATAATTCTCTCTACTATTATTCTGACATTACACATTCTTCAAATAAAGTGGTGATCCTAACTGACCTAAGACAGGGAATCTTTACTAGGATTAAATGTCAGGAATTGTGAAAAACAGAGTTTTTAAATGTATTTGGCTAAGGTGTATGTAAACTTCCGACTTCAACTGTATATATACATCCTGAGTTCCCTTTGTCTCCACCAGGCTGAACGCCCACTTCGAGGTGAGCGGCGAGAGCTCCGTGTCACGCTCAGATATGTACTCGGAGTACCTCGCCACCGGCAGCAAGATGGGACGCGCTGGGATCCTGGCCTCCCAAGGCTTCCTCAAATGTCTACGGTTGGTTGGCATAATCCCATGTTAAATCAATCAGTTTCATTGAAAACCTTCATCATTTGGAGAACACGCATGTAATTTTTTATGTTTTTTGGATTTCCCAATTGTGGTCCTGGAAGCCCACTGTGTATTCGTGTTCTGTTTTCAACCAAGAAATCACCCTATGGACAAGTTACAATATAGTAGTCCACATTCAATGACTTTGAGAAACATGATTGATAAGGTTTTAGAATCAACTGCGCTCACACGTCTCTCTCATTTTGTAGGACCATCTTCCCAAACCACACAGTAAAGCGGCTAGAGGACACCAAGCCCAATGCACAGGCCCACATACACGTGGTGGGGGTGAAACGGAGGACCATCCCACTGCCCATCCAGCTGTACTACCAGCAGCAGGCTAGCCCCACACCAGGGCCCAGGCACGACGTCCCTGTCCACCCACAGGCATCCCCCTCAGGTAAACTACATTTTCGTAGTTAGTGGCATTAAAATTCAAGTTTCCACTTACCTTGATTGTTATCACAACAAACGTCAGAAGACATAGTTGCTATAAATGTTGTTTTGGAGTATGGTGAGACATTTTTGCAGTTGTGCGATTTGGACCTCAGTCAATGATGCTAATGTGTTCTTTGTTGTCTCTCTCTCTCTGTGTTTAGGCTTTGTCCCTGGGCATCCTGGGTTTGCCCGGCCTCCAGTTCCCAGCCTTACTGCTAACCCGGCAGCGCCACAGGTGGCCTACACCATGCAGGATGGTGTACCCCACCCCCAAGCGGCTCAGACTGTTCCTCGGCTCCACCTTCACCCCCAGGCCACACCACAGCAGCACCCCCACCCAGCTCAGCAGGCCCAGCCAGGGGACATCCTCAAGACAGCCATGGTCCAGAGCTCCATCCCCACCTCTGGCCAGGTGGTCCAGAACCACAGCCCCAACATGACCCAACAGCTCCACCATCAACAAGTCATGCAGGCTGCCGGGACACCCGTCACACTGTTCCAACAGGTACAGCAGGGCCACATCTTCACGGCGCGGGTTCAGGGGGTGTCCATGGCCCAGCGGCCGCCCCTGCCGCACACTCCCCCCTCCTCAGTACCCCAGGCCCTCTCCCAGGGCCCCCAGCAGGAGACTGCTGTGTTCTCTGCCCCCCCGCACTACGCCGCCGTGTCGGCCCCCTGCTCCTCGCTGCAGAACTTCCAGGTGGGCGGGGGCCAGGTGTTCACCATCGCCGGCGTGTCCAACGCCCAGGGCTCCCGCGTCACTTTCCAGAACATCGCTCCCAAGCCTGCACCCTCACAGGCCAGCGGACCGCCCACAACCACTCATAACCAGCAGCAGCAGTCCAGCGTGGTCATCGTCAGCCCCAACCCCCAGCAGAACCAGGCCTACGCCCCGGCCATCCATCAGATCGTTCTGGCCAACCCCTCCACCATGCCTGGAGGCCAGGCCATCCAACTGGCAGGACAGCCTCCCGCTCCTTCCAACCCCCCACCCTGCCCTGCCACCACCGCTCCACTGCCCCAGGGCCTGCCCTCTCCTTCCAACACCCAGATCCAAATGCAGGGCTCTGCTTCAGTCAGTCAGATGCTGTCGGTCAAACGGCAACCACAACAATTGAACCCCCAGCAGCAGTTTCACCCCCAGCAGCAGTTTCAGATTCAGCCCCAACCCCTGCCTCAGCAGCAGCCGCCCCCCTTGCCTACCTCCACCGAGTCCAGCCTGATCAAACAGTTATTGCTTCCAAAGCGGCCCTCCACGCCGGGCGGCAAGCTCATCCTTCCCGCGCCCCAGGTGCCTCCCCCTAACAGCACGCAGCGTGCCCCCAGCCCACAAGTGCTCTACCAGGTGGCCTCACAGGGCCAGCCTCAGCCCCAGCAGCTCAATGTACAGCTGGTCCCCAGCCAGCTCCAGTCCCCAGGGGGGCCTCTCCAGACGGTGCAGCTCATCTCCACCAGCAGCCCCGCCACCATCATCCAGGGCCAGGCTCCTGGTGGCCAGGTCACCTTCACTGTGGTGCCCAACACGGGCTTTACCACTTCAGCCTCTGCAGCTGCCGCCCAGGTCAGCCAGGGAGCCGCTGCACCAGGCCTGCCAGTGGTCCAGACAGGCAACACCCTCCACGGCCCACCGCCACCCTTTAGGGGGGACAAGATCATCTGCCAGAAGGAGGAAGAGGCCAAGGACGCCACGGGTCTGCACATCCACGAACGCAAGATCGAGGTGATGGAGAATTCCTCTCTGGCTGATGGGGCTGGCACCAAAACCAGGAACGGGGATCTGGCAGGGGCCGATGCTCCAGGAACCAAGCTGCTTAACGGGAGAAAGTGCATGGACTCCAGTCTACCTCCATACCACTCAGGGAACAGCCAGGGGGCCTGCGTCAATGGACCGGCCAGCGAGAGCTGCCCCACCAATGGGAAGCAGACCTCTGGCCCGGCTAACCCACAGGAGGGCCACGTCGACCCCAAAAAGGCTCTCGTCAACGGAGTCTGTGACTTTGAGAGAGGGGACGCCTCCACTGGTGCCCACTTAAGCAAAAACATTCCAAATCACATCGCTTCCAAACACTTGGGGAACGGGGAGGTGGGTCCTCCTCAGAAACTGCATGGGGCTCCCCAGGAGCCCTCTGTCCCCCAGCAGGATACTGCCAAAGCTGAGCAGGCAGAGCGCCTTGCCAATGGGCCTCAGGCGACAGGCCCCTTCTCTAACGGACCTATGGGGCCGGGGCCTAACTACGCCCTGCCTGCTTTCAGGCAGCAGCTGTTTCCCACTGTTACTGTAAACTCCCAGGGCGCCACGGGGTCAGGGATCCTGCCGGCCAATGGTTTGAGCGACGAGAGCCGTGCGCTCAAGAGGCCGGCGGAGGAGGACAAGGGGGCGTCTGTGATTCCCAGTAAGGTGGGCGTGAGGATCATCACCATCAGCGACCCCAACAATGCGGGCTGCAGTGCCACCATGGTGGCCGTGCCTGCTGGAGCCGACCCAAGCACAGTAGCCAAAGTAGCAATAGAGAATGCCACGCAGCAGAGGAACTGCTCGACCACACAGGCAACCAGCTCTACGGTGAGTTTCACATCTCTCAACAATTTGTTTCTTGTCCCAGTTTTGCAAGCTCATTAGATTGCTGACTTATCTTGAATACTTTATTGGATCATTGACATTCTTGCCCAGCTGGTAAAACCTGTGACTCTGTTTTTCTTCACTAACAGAAAATGTAGGGCTCCACATTAACGCTTGTCCTCTTGTCCGGGACAAGTAAAAACAATGCTCGGACAAGAAGAATATAGATTTCAGTTCGGACAAGAGTAAAAAAAACAATCACATTATCAAACAATTACTCAGATCAGAATTGGATCAGAGGCCAATATTTGAATAATATTCAAATCTATTGAATATTATGTAGATAAATAAAAAAGCCTACATGTCAAAGTGTAGGTGATATGCATATTGGCTACAGCCTCATGTCCAAACCTATGCTGACATGAGGGAGGCACCAGAAAATGTACCCAAACTTTAATGAGACTTTGAATTATATAAAAATAGGCTAAACACAAGTCATGTTTGACAAATATAATGAAGGATCATTAACGTCTGAAGGCTTGATTCTGTCGACATACTCAAGGCACGGTTTGTTCAGATCAAATGGTCACAAGACCGGCCTGTTGCGCACTGCACATCACCCACCTTGAATCTGAGTGTAGGGGTCTGCATTTTGAAGCTATTTAAAGGGCAATTCCACCACTTTTCAACCTCATTTATATGTGTGAAAACAGCGCGTTTCTACGATCTGTGGTTACAAAGATGAGAAAAGTCCTTAAATGCTTTTCTGTGACATCACAGGGTAGGATTAAAAATGTTCAAAAACCTGTGATTTCCTAAACCTGCAACATGTTTTTTTAGCCCAAGGGAGGGTATTTTCTTGCTTCCCACATCACTATGAATCTGTGTTTTGAAAATCACTGTTTTTAAAATGAACTTCTTAACTTTCTATTTTATTCTGTAAAACGTATAAATGCACTGTTTTCACATATGTTGACACTGGTATTGTGCTGGAGATGATAAAAATGAGGTTGGTGGAGGATCCATAAACTTAATTGTTTAAAACCTGGACGTTTTGTCATTTTTATGAAGCATGTCTTACCTTGTTTCAAAGTAGCCTAGCCAAAATACGACTATAGAAATGTTGAGGGAATTATTTTATTATGCCATTGAAAGCAGCATTTGGAAGCAGCATTTTTCTCATGTTCTATTGGTTTTTCAAATCAACATTATTGTCCAGCAGCCAAAGGCATAATCCTAGTTATAATAGTAGTAACCCATGCTAGTTGATGCATTCATATTAAATGTAGCACATACTGAAGTCGCTTGATAAAGCGTCTGCTAATGCATTATATTATCTTTAGATCTCCCCTTGCTTTATTTCTAACAGATATTTTCATCTCTGTCACATGAAACCACACGCGCATGCAGGGCACTTTTGAGAACAATGTTTTCCTGCTAATTGCATTTTGGAACATTCGTGCATAGCTTACAGCCATGTGTGCATTGTTAAGCTTATAATATGAAGAAATATAACGTTATCAACATTTAAGCTAAACTGTCTGATCTGATGCATCCGCCTCATTGCTTTTGAAAATGTTTTAATGTGCAGTGGTTGTATGACTTTGGGATCTGTTGTTCCTAAGTCTGTTTTGAACTGTATACATATTTTTTATCGTCCTTAATTTCGTGGGGAATTATTTTATAAAGAGTATTTGGTTGTAATTGTAATGTTGCAATATTTTATAGGCTACCAAGGGTGGCCAACCATCCTCCAGGAGAGCCTTAAACGGGCAGTGTTGTATTTTGAGACAGGCTTGAATATGCAAATAAGCCAATAGGCAGAGTGTATCCTACATTTCTCTGATTCTCTATGGTAAAAAAGACTAATGCATTTTATTTTGTAAAGTGGATCTGTCAATTATGTAAAAATGGTGTTAAAACAATTTTTTGGGGGGGGGCGGGGGGACAAGTGTCTTGAGCTTTTGGACAAGTTAAATCGGACCTACTTGTCCAAAGGACAATCGGCAAAAAAAAGTTGATGTCAATGTGTAGTTGTAGGTGGGAGAGTGCTATCTATCACATACAACTACAAGGCTTTTCTGTTGCTGTTATTTTGAGAAATCGACTGCATTGTGATGAGTAGGGTTAGAGGCCATTAATGATTTATACAGACTGACTTCGACAAGACTTGTTTATATTGCACTAATTGGATTGGCAGGTGTGTGATCTTTCATTTCATCCTTTAACAATGCAAGGCTTACAGTTGTTATTTTTGGAAGCAAAGGACTTGCATAAAACAAGCTTAACGATGATAGTCTTTAGGTTGTAGGACCTTGCATTATTTATTCAACCTCTATGTTAATATTTTTACGAGCCTCCTGTAGCTCAGTTGGTAGAGCATGGCGCTTGCAACGCCAGGGTTGTGGGTTCGATTCCCACGGGGGCCAGTATGAAAAATGTATGCACTCACTAACTGTGATTCGCTCTGTATAAGAGCGTCTGCTAAATGACTAAAATGTAAAATGTATGTTTTTTTTTATTAATTTCTGAAAATAACTCTTAGAAACAAATGGTAGGTTATTCATATTTATTGTTTCATATTTATTGTAAGCAGAGGGTAGGTAGGCTAAAATCTTCAAAGTTTATTAGCTTAATTAACCAATTTATCTTGTTAAACTTTTTTCAAAGGTAAAACAAATAAAAAAAAACAATTTTTGTGACTTGTTTTTTTATTTGAGAAATAGTCAAACACAATCATACAACACAAAATATCACCTGCTTATTTGGGCTGATAAAGCTTTGCCTCTTTCCCTCAGCCTGGTTTTACGCAGCCTCCGCCCCCAGTGGCTCAGCCTGCACAGGCTGGCAGTACCAGCCCCAACGCCCCCCTTTCTGGGCCACAAGCCGTGGTGGCACCCCCAGAACAAACCAGGAAAGCGGGACAGAACTTCAAGTGTCTGTGGCAATCCTGTAAACGGTGAGTCAATCTCTGTCCGTATCGACTTGACCTACTTAAAGAGAAGTTATGTGTTGTGGGAGGTGTGTCCATATCATGGCTAACTGAGGCTGCGTTTAGACAGGCAGCCCAATTCTGATATTTTTTCCACTAATTGGTCTTTTGACCCATCACATCAGATCTTTTCACATCAGATCTTTTTCAGAGCTGATCTGATTGGTCTGAAAAACATCAGAATTGGGCTGCTTGTCTAAACGCAGCCCGAGTGTGTCTAAGTGGCCTTTTCATTGACTGTCCCGTTGATATCCGTGTTGTTGTTCCAGGTGGTTTGAGACGCCGTCTAGAGTGTTCTACCATGCAGCCACACAGCATGGTGGCAAGGAGCTGTACCCAGGCCAGTGCCTCTGGGAGGGATGTGAACCTTTCCCCCGACAGAGACTGTCCTTCATAACCCATCTACAGGTAAGACTACACCCTCACCTCTCAATCAAGCAGTCCATGTTTGTGGGTTTTGGCTGACAATTATCCTATTTTCTGCCTGCAGGATAAGCACTGTTCTCGAGATGCCCTATTGGCCGCACTAAAACTGGAGCAGGAACCGACACAGACGCAAGACCCCAATCAGAAAACTTCCAAGTATGTACCCTCTGGTTAGCTTAGCATGTTAGTGCAAATGTCCATTGTGGTGATGCTAGAATGAACTGTATGTGTGGCTGACTGTCTTTTGCATTGTTCCACAGGCCTCAGCCAGTGGCAAGCAGCACTCCAGCACCGCGAGCACAGAAAGCTATTGTCAATCATCCGAGCGCAGCCCTTATGGCCCTACGCAGAGGCTCTCGGAACCTGGTGTTCAGGGACTTCACTGTGAGTATGGCTGAGCTTAGCTGTTTTTACACTGAAGCTGACATTTTACAGAATTTTATGATTTTATACCTGGAAATAAGATTTAAGATGTTAAACCTTGCAGTCCTTGACTACTCCATATTTATCGTCTATTTCCACGTGGAAATCTTTTGTTGTCAATGTATCTTGTAACTGATGAACTTCACAATCCTTTTCCTTAGGATGAAAAAGAGGGACCAATGACCAAACACATACGACTAACTGCTGCCTTAACGCTAAAGAACATCGCCAAGTATTCAGACTGTGGTCGAAAGTAAGAACATTCACAACTACAGAAGGGTCATCTGAGGACTTGTCTGTTCGGAGTGATGAATTATCATGAATCATAATCAATTAAACAAATGTTTACGGGTTTGATGGAGAGTATGTAATGACAGCTACCTGTCTTGTCTTCTCAGGTTGGTGAAGAGGCATGAGAGCCACCTCTCTGTGCTGGCACTCAGTAACATGGAGGTATCCACCACGCTCGCCAAATGCCTTTACGAACTGACTCGCTCTCTCCAAGCTTGAGCCCACAAGGACAACCCCACCCCCAAAAATAGGAGAACCATCCTTCAGGGGTGTCCTCAAGGCAATGGGACAATGGGGCACACAGGCGGGCAACACCAGACCATGCCCTTCGGACTCCCCTCATCCTCCAACCCCCCTCCCCCACTGTGCTCTAATTCCCCCATCTCCTTCACAAAACAAACTGCCACGGGGTCTTCCACCAGCCGCCCAAGAGGGGGAGCTCTTTAGACTGCTGCCCTGAGGGACTCTACTAACGAAACCCCAAATACGAGCACATTTTTGTAATCCTGGGACTGTTTGCAGAGAACTTATTTGAGTAGGAGCGGCAGTACGTTGAGGGGTTTTACTGTGCTGAGGGAGGGAGGGGAGTGGCTGGAGAGAGGGGAGGGAGACAGCTGCAGGAGACTGGCTCGATTGTTTTTCTTTAGAAATTGATAGCGTGGTTTTCTTACTTGAGTCAATTATATTTTCACTTATTTATTATTGAAATGAATACCATTACAATTAATGAAAAGAATCTTGTAAATATTTGTGAATATATATATATAAAGAAAATCCTCTTTCATGCCGATACAGCCACTGGGGAACTTGCTCTGTGGAGTAATAGAAGCATTACTTTGGTCGAATTGAAGTTTTTTGTTGTTTTTTTTTTCTTGTATTTTTAATGATCCCTGGTTACTTGTATCTAATGTGATTCTATACTCAGCAGTGGATGAATGTACTTAAAACCTGTAAATACTTCTGCAAAGGTACTGATGCTGTAAAGTTAAGTGGGGGAAAAACAGTTTTTTTGTGGAACTGTGACTTTTTTTGTATTATAATACCTTGTAGAACTCATTTTGCTGGCTGAAAGAGTATGGAATAATATATCTCATGTCATTTTGTAGAAGAAAATAATATTAAAGGTATTCTCACCTCACCCCCCAACATGTATCCACTGTAAACGTTTGTCATTGTACGAGCACAGTGCGCGTACCAATTTTTTTTGTATTTGTAAATTGGTTTAAATACATGGAGTTTTATACAGGTTTTCTCCTGTGTTCTTTGCTTTATGTGCAGGTATGATATTTTCTTCACTACTTTTTTTCTATGTTAATATAGTGTGGAGTTTTATTGTACTATTTTTTCATTCTTAATACCATGCCACATTCCGGCTCACGTCCTCAGACTATCCTCTCTATGGTGTGTTGTGTAACATTTATGACTGCCTGTTGTTAGCATCCGAGCGGGGCAGCCCACCCATCCTCATTTCTGCGGTGTCAGTAGGATGTGCGATTATACATAGACCTAACAGTCTGTTAGAGATTGGCTTTATTTACTTTGGTGACTGTTTATAGTTTTTAAATAAAAGACTGAACATTTTGTCTTTGTTTTGGGGCTCTTGTTTTGTGGTGTGAGGAGACAAAGGGTGCCTCTGTTGCACAATGTTACATGGCTGTGGTCATCCACTTTTTAAATACGCATATTTAATAGAAAATGGTTTTCCCTAAATGTGTACATTCTATTCATCAACTTACAATAAAGTTACAGAAAGTTGAGCTGTTTTAGAAAGATCATCCCTCCCAGTGCAAAGTGGATCAATGGTTTTCAATCTGAGGTTTGTCCACCCCAAACTACCTTAATGGGTATTAATGGCTCTGGGTGTAGCTTACCTTTTACTTGAATGTCCTGTTGATGTCATGTCACTAAAATTGTCAGTCCCCTGCTACTGTTTATGAAAGGACAATACTTTTAGCCGCCATGCCAGTTACCGGTATAATTATGTTTGTCTATTTTATATACATTCCTTTAAATTGAAAGGCAAGGAAAATGTCAACGCTTTCTTAAATGTTTTTAATTTCATTGGCTACAAAAACAGGTTCCGGTTATAAATATGGGACCGGAAACAGTCGAGGGATTTCTTCCCTAGAGTAGAATGTATTGCAGCGACACTGTGCGGTGTTGTTTAAACTTCACAGGTCTCAGACAGACATCGAGACATGTGGCCAAGACGTTCTCAAATGTATAACGAGTTAGCGGTGCAATCTATTCGGCTATATTCCGTTTCTCTTCTAGCCTCGGAGACTAACCAATACACGGAAATAAGTGGGACAGCAAAAAATAAACAACCACGCCAATTTTCTAGTTATTGATTTAGCTTCGGGTAAGTCAACAAATACGTAGCTAGCTAACCAATTTAGCAAGCCTGCAGCCGTTAGCAAGCGACAGTATCGTTAGCTGCTAGCTAGGTAGCTGTTATCGTGTCTAATATAGCGTCTGTACTGTAGGCCAGGCAAGTCGCGTTAGCCAATGAAGTTGAATAGTTATGAACTAGCTAGCTATGATCATACTTGTTTGTTTCTTGTTACTGACCTAAATACAATTACCTTCTTACTAGCCAGCTAGCTAACTAGCCTATGTCAACCAAAAGTAGCTAGCTAGCTGACCTTATCATGAACCATCTTGTTACCGTTATCTGAATTGCAAACTAGCCAGCTAACGCTAGATAGTTAACTTGGTTATCAAACTAGTAGAAGGAACAAGTAGCTAGTTAACCAACTAAACATAGAAGTTAGTTGAAGTTTGAGGGGGATTAGTGCACACTACTACTAGAAGAAGTTGAAGGGTCGTGTTACATCACACATGGGCCACATCAAAGTTTAAATTGTTGTTACCTGCTAGCCAAAACGTTAGCTACGTTACTTAACGTTAGCTGTTAACGTCAGCAACCGTAGGGCATTTCATCATGTTTATTCAATTGGCAACTTACTTGACAGTTACCTGCGTGGTATTTGGTTAGCTAGCTGGACAGAAAAGAAAATGCAAGACCACAACTCGACAAATGTTACTAGATAGTAGGAAGCTAGCTAGCTTACGTTAGTAGTTGGCTAACTAGCTGGCTAGTTAAATAATCCAATGGCATTGGATGATTGAGAACATGGCTAGTTATTTTAGCAACTCACATGGTAGAGTGTTGGCCTTAACGGCCTCAGTGACCAGTATACCCCATTTCATTTACAACTCTGCGACTGTGTCCTGCATGTATTTTAGCCAGAGCTGACACACTGGTTAAGGCCTTTTGTTGTACCCTTGCCACTGTGGTAAACCCGTTTGCTCGGGCTTTCACCTGGACAGTGTTGTTTTGCTTCCTGATTCAGAGGTTAAATGCGGAAGACACATTTCAGTTGTACAAACTTTCCCGTTCCTCCACTCACCAAGCAGACGGTGAACTTATCAACTGGCTACGTACACTTTGTGACAGTGTTTAGCAAGCTATCCACTATTCAAGTATGCTTGTTTCTTCTATTGGAAGCAGAGACGGAGAGAAATCCTTGCCCAAATCAGCCTTTCATTCAAGTAGTTACTCGCCAGACATGCTGGTTTAGACGAGACCATTTGTTCACAGTTTCTGTGCTTATGCTCAGACAGTTTAAAGTTGTATTTGTCTTATGTATGGGACAGGCATGGTATACATCGTCCAACGAAATGCTCACTTGCAGGTTCCTTCTCGACAATGCAACAATAAGAAATAGGACAAAATAAGAATACAAACATAAAGTAAATGGCAGTAGAATATATATATATTTTTAGCATAATTATAATACAGGAGGGTACAATGTTTATATGTGTAAATCGCTCTGGATAAGAGCATCTGCTAAATGATGTAAATGTATTGGGGATGGGGGCAAGTGTATAAATTGAGCAGTATAATAAGAGTCTGGTGCCAGCAGTTATGCTAAGGTGTGGAGAATCACAGCAGGTGGTCATTCCAGTTCAAGTGTTCAGCAGTCTGATGGCTTGTAGATAGAAACTGTCTCTGAGCCTGTTGGTATCAGACCTCATGCTCCGATACTGTCTGCCCGACGGTAAGGGAGAGAACAGCTCGTGTGTGGGGTCCTTGATGCTGCGTGCCTTCCTCAGGCACCGTTTCGAGTAGATATCCTGGATGGGTGAAAGCACCAGTGATGTACTGGGCCGCCTTCACCACCCGCTGGATGGACTTGCGGCTGTAGATGGAGCAATTATTGTACCAGGCCGTGATGCAACCGGTCAGGACGCTCTCGGTGGTGTAGTATTTGGAGAGGACCCGGGGCGGCATGCCACATTTCTTCAACCGCTTTAGGACTTATTGTGACTGACATTTGCTCTACTTAGTTGTCAGTCACGAAGAGCACACTTTGTACTATATGGAAATTGATAGCCTGGATTAGGACCTGCGCCGCTTCCTGTGTGTGACAGGGTCGTACTCTACCGATGTTGTAGAGCATGAATTTGCAGGAGCAAGTCACTGACTGCTTTGATGTTTGCAGACAGAAATACTTGAGTATTGGGCAGGAATATAGTATGTGGGTGTGGTTATTACTATTTGCAGCTCGTCTTCCCAATTGGTTACTGCTATAATATTCTCATTTTTTGTTTCTTCTTCAATAACTATGTATATGTGCCCCCGCACATTCTTGGCATGTACCTTATGTATTTGCTATATATCTAATTAAAGGATGTATAGAATATATTTTTGTGCTATAAGTGGCATTTTGAGCTCTTTTCAAGGCAAGGGTCCCAACTTATGGGTCCTATGACCCATGTTACTCAAGGGAAGTGGTAGCACAATTGGAGGTCATTTAAATGTATTATTTTGAATAGCCTTTGACTTGGGCCTGGTTATGTCTTAAAGTACAGTACGAACAAAATCATTTATAAAGAAAAAGTGTGAAAAAAAGCTAGCATATGGAATTGTTTTAAGATGGGCATACCATGGATCATTTAGCTATTTTATTTTTTATTTTAGGACCCCTTTAGGTATCAAAAAAGATATATAACAAAACAATTTAATAAAATATTGAATTTGGCCTTTACTACTATAGCCCATAGAAACGCGTTGAGTAACACATTCATAAAAGACAGTCCAAAAATAAATCATAAGGAATAAGGTTTTGAAGTGTCTGTCCTATATCTAGGAGATATAAGAAGGCTCAGGAAATGTTTTTTTTTTTTTTTGGACGCATAATTAACTAATTTTTGTTGGCACAAAACTACCTCCATACTTCCATTCGTTTGTATGGGTTACCTTCAGATGAGTCCCGTGACACTTCTGGGGGTCGTAGAGCCAAACAGAGAAAACCATTGTGTTCATGAGTCTCCCCTTTCCATAGATAGTTTGTAGGCCGTTCGGACGCTACAGACATTTTCGTGAGAAGACAGATTTTCGGGATGTCTCATGGTCTGACAAACACCGCTATAGCTCGGTCACATTCCACCGCAGGTGCGGAAGGCCGACATAGGCGGATGCGGTGGATTGCTACGCATGCCATGCAAAAAACCTGATATCTCTAGTTTAAACTGACAGATTGTGATGTTAAAACATTTTTGTTTTGTTTTTACTTATATTGACACACAGGTGCGTCAATAGACTTAGGGATTAAGTTGGCCAATGTGTAAATAATGCAACTGTGTAGCTCAGTTGGTAGAGCATGGCGTTTGCAACGCCAGGGTTGTGGGTTCGATTCCCACGGGGGGCCAGTATGAAAAATGTATGCACTCACTGTGTGTCTGCTAAATGACTAAAATGAAATTAAAGTCAATTGACAACTTGGTTACACACAGAGATCTCAAGTTAAGATTAGTGAACACTTTCAATGTAATTAAAAGTGATGGCACTGTGACTGGGTTGTTAACAAAAATCTCTAATTTTTATTTCCAGGGGTCATCTGGTCATTAGGGACAAAGCAACACTGTGCCAAAAATGACGGGTGGATGGGGAAATGGTAAGTAACTGCCAGCCAGTCATCATGAAAAACATATTTCAGTGGGCTTTGGCAAAATGGTTTAATTTAAACGTCTCTACCCTCAAGTTTGTGCTTGGATGACAAGTTGTTGTGCCACCTCTCTCTGGTTGTCAGACGGACAGACCCCAGAGGGCGGCACAGAGCCAGAAGAGGCGGAGCGTTGTCCTATCTGCCTGGGCGCCCTGGGCCGCTGTGTCCTGGCCATGCCCGACAGCTGCTGCCATGTATTCTGCCTCAGCTGCCTCCTCAGATGGGCAGAGGTAAGCGCCATGCACTGTTCCGCCTCCTAGACTCATCACCCTCAGTGGCAACAGATAGTGCTGCAACTGGCGAGTCGTTTATTGTGATAAGGCATGGTCTTACTCCCGGTGAGGCTCAGGAGACTATACATGTACCAAAGTGTGTGGACTGATGTGTTTTTTTTTTTGTCTATGTTTCTAAGTTGCAGGCAGTTCCATCCTGCCCAGTGGACAGGCAGCCTTTCAATGTTGTCTACAAACGTGATGCTGTGCTGGGATGTGTGACAGTAAGCAGGGGTTTCTCCAGTGGCTTTACCTTCTATATTATAAATGGCATGTCATGAAACTTCACAAGCTACAGTATAGCTTTAGTCACTATGCAGGAAGAATTTACGTGCTGTGACTTCAGTTGTGATGTGAATCTCAGGTTCCTGTGAAGAAGAGAATCAGCCAATCAGAGCCAGAGAAGTGTGGCTGCACAGACCCGGAAGCCAGTGGCTGTTTGTTAAAGTGAGTAGAGGTCTTGCGTTAGTGGAAGGGTTGCCCTGCTGCAGTTAACCTGACAAAGACCCTTAGTGGTCGAAACTTTGTCTTTAATCCTGGGGAGCATTTAAACATTGTGCAGCTTAATGGCAGTCACTTTTCTGTGGTGCATTATTTCCTTTTATTTGTATTTATTTTTTTACCACATTGGGGGGGTTACAGGTACAATATTAATATTAATTTACACACTTAGTTTATACCACATGTACCCGTAGGCTGCCACTCTAAAATATAAAAAAATAAAACAAATACATACAGAGAAATGATCATATTGATCACACAGGATTTTGTAACAATAAAATTGGTATGTAAAGAAAAATAAACAGAGGTGGGCCTACACCCCCCCCCCCCAGCCCAACATGCCTCCGTCGAACCCCCCGCACCCACGCTGCCTAGCAACACAGGTTGGGTGTCAGTCCCCCCCATATCTCTATCTGTAGTTATTTGGCGAATTTAGTTGTGAATGATACAAACCATAGAATGTCTTAGAGATCAAAACATGTGGACAGCATGATGCGACTAGGCTATTGACTATTGGAAAAAGTTGCATAAAAAGCTTGCACTCTGTTCCTTGCCTCAGGCTGCACACCCTGTTCTCTCATCAAGTGATCATATTTTCACTATTCTCAATTTAAGTTTGTCTTTACTAATATGTAAAAGCAGCTGAGAAATAAATATAGTAGCATCTGAGATCCTCCTCTTTTTATTGGCAACGATCAACTCTGCTTTCACACGGGATTGCATATAAAGATGTCTGGGCTTATAAGAACACTTATTTCACTTCACGCATCAACCACTCTTTGAGGAGCATGCAGCCTCGCTGCGTGACAGGTGATATTCCACCCAAACTCTGTATGCCACAGGCTCTCCAACCATGTTCCTGCAGCTACCCAGTGCTTAATTTGGGAAACCAAGTGAAATCTGTTCGGGAACATCGATAGTAACATGTCTTCACAACAAAACATATTTGATTAAACTGTTGACAGCCCCTATCTCGGCGTGCTCGAGAAAGGAATGTAGGAGAGAGAGAGGAGATGGAAACGCATGGTGGTGATATATTCTGGAGCTAAAGTTAATGTCAGCCTATTGATTATGAATATATAAAACATGCCCTATTACTAGGCTATTCAAAATCAAATATCAATTCACTATAATTGTAGGCTAACTCTGTAAGCCGCCTGCGCAATCAATGAACCAACAGCATCGCCTAGGCCTTATTATACGTTCTCTCCCAGGCTCATGGATAGAAAGTTTGGAGCGTAGCATAAGATAACCAGTCCATCCAGTATGCATAATAATACAGTCCACACTCAAAGGCGATTACTCAAATTTGTTTAATTTTGGAGTCTAGACCAATTATGTACTGAAGGCATCTTAAATCTATGTTTTATAAAATACGTTTTTCTGCCGTGTGTAATGTGTGGTAGGCTATTATGCGTATGGGTGTTCTACATGCAACGTCTTAAATGCTTTGAATTTATCATCACCTTAGAAAGCGCTTTTCCATTTAGCAGACGCTCTTATCCAGAGCGACTTACAATTAGTGAGTGCATACATTTTTCATACTTGCCCCCCTTGGATTAGACTCAATTTTACATATTAGTAAAGTTGTTTGACTTTGAAACAACATACAAAACAACCATGTTTTCCACTCAGTTAACCAGTTTTTGATCATCAGTGAGACTCAACGGTCACGTCGAATTTGACAGTGGTCATTACTTATGACTAACAAAAGTTGTTTATATATTATAGAGATTAATTATTTTTGGGAACCCAGATAATTTATTTATAAATCCCGTCATTGGCATAGCTGACCTAAATGGTAAATATAGAAAAAAGGAGTTGCTTGGTAATGTGTATGTCTTTCAAATCTTGAAATGATCTCAAACCATTACTGTCTATGATATCGGCAAGGGTAGTAATTACATATTTGGACCATTGGGGGGATGCAAAAGGCCGCCCTCCAGATCACAAGGCAGTATGAAAAATGTATGCACTCACTAAAACTGTAAGTCGCTCTGGATAAGAGCGTCTGCTAAATTACTAAAAATGTAATTATTGTGAAATAATGGGGTATGGGCATGCCATTTTGATTCCCAGTTACATTGTTTTTAAATTTTGTGCCAAAAAGAAATTGTGTGAGCAATAATAGGACCAAAGCGTAGTTTACATTGTTTAAGGGATATATCCGTGAAGAGCACATCTTCCAGGGCAATAGGAGACACCATATTTCTCTCTATACTCAGCCAGGGGGCAGAAGAATCGTGTCTAAACCAATTTAGGATGGGGTGAAATGCTAGTGCCTGGAAATGCAATTTAAAGTTTGGTACAGATAGTCCTCCTACATCTTTCCCTCTATGTAAGTTTGTTAATTTTAACCAGGATCGCTTACCTTGTCATATGAATTTTGAAACCGTACCATGAATTTTATCCCAATAGCCAAAAGGGGAGACGTGGGAAGCATTGAACTACAGAAATTCAGCCGTGGTAATATATTCATTTTGACAATATAATTCTGCTGGTTAAAGCAACTGTGATGTTAGTCCATCTACTGAGGTTGGATTGAATTGATTTGAGCATTCTGTTAAAGTTTCTGGCAATGGTTTTATCTAAGGAAGGAAATATATCAGTTAACGTTTCCCATTCTGATATCATTTTTAATTGTGATTTATTCAACCCAGATGCAAATGCAGTTGCATTATTTTTTATAAAACCTTTGGTGGCATTCCATAGAATCGGCAGAATTATGATTGATCATTATTAATGAAAGAAATGTTTTATATTTTTTATTTGTTTTTGAAATGTTAACCCCTTTCTCCCCACGTTTGCGATATCCAATTGGTAGTTAGTCTTGTCCCGTCGCTGCAACTCCCGTACGGACTCGGGAGAGGTGAAGGTCGAGAACCATGCGTCCTCCGAAACACAACCTACCAAGCCGCACTGCTCGCTTAACCCGGAAGCCAGCCGCACCTATGTGTCGGAGGAAACACCGTACAGCTGGCGACCAAAGTCAGCGTGCATGCGTCCGGCCCGCCACGAGTCGCTAGAGCGCGATGGGACAAGGACATCCCAGCTGGCCAAACCCTCCCCTAACCCGGATGATGCTGGGCCAATTGTGCGCCGCCTCATGGGTCTCCCGGTTGCAGCCGGCTGCGACACAGCCCGGGATTGAACCCGGATCTGTAGTGACACCTCTAGCACTGCGAGGCAGTGCCTTAGACCGCTGCGCCACTCGGGAGGCCTTATTAATGAATTTAATTCCATTTCAAATGAATCACTGAATGTAGAATTTTGTAATGATGAAATTATGATACCCCATCTTGTGGCTCTTTTTAGGATATTCGTAGATTTGTAGTTGGCAGTAGTAAACGTGATGATCATACAAACTCATATGTCGAATTTTGATTTTCTTAATTTTAGAAAATAAAGGTGTAGATAGTAAGAGAAAATCGAGTACTCTGTTTGAGTAGAAAGTGTACTCTTTTGCTTTAGGAATATGTGCTCGCCGGGCATTAATGAGGTTATAATCAGAGAGTATATGTTGGAGAGCCTTGGTTGCGTGTGGATTGTAGTTGGTCTTTATTAGATTTGTCCCACATTCATGTCTGTCCCAATAACTAGTTTGAATTCAGTTAATTCAAACAATAAGCAGTTCAGATAATACAAAAAGTTGGGATCAAATGAATTTGGAGCATACACGTTAATAAAGGCAATTTTCTTTCCGTTATGGATGCATTTGAAGGAAAGTGATTCTGCCTTTTTGGTCTTCGACTTAACCAAGATGGTGATTTTGAGTTTCTTATGTATCATTATGATTACACCTTTAGGGCTGATGAAAAATCAGCCAGTTTGTACAAATGGTTCTGTATTCTATCTGCATCCTTTTGGAGCAGGTGTATTTCTTGGAGCATTGCTATATCAATATGGTTTCTTGCTAGGATATCAAGACAGCTGTAACATTTGATTAGTTGAGTAGGTATCCACTTTGGAAGTGAGCAGTGCAAGATATTAATTTACCGGTTTTAATTGCAAGTCAAGGGCAGAGGTAATTTCCTCAAACAATTTCTCGCATAGTAGCAGCCAACTCTTTCTGTTGTCGGGTGTTGAGAGCCGCCATGTTCCCACTGGCGAAGTGTGAATGGACAGATTATGCTAGCTGCTGGAGCGAAATAGACCTGCTAGTTGTTTCCCCACCTTAATATGGTGTTATGTTGACAGTTGGTTTCTTGCTAGGATATCAAGACAGTTCGGACATTTGATTTAGTTGAGTAGGTATCCACTTTAAAATACACTCCGTGGCCAGTTTATTACGTACACCCATCTAGTACAGGGTCAGACCCCCCTTTTCCTCCATAACAGCCTGAATTCTTCGGGGAATGGAAACGTTGCTCAATTGGTATCAAGGGACTTAACATGTGCCAGGAAAACATTTCCCACAAGTTGTGCGTTCTGAGATGTCGTTCTTCAAACAACTGTTGTACTGCGCCGTTAATTGTCTGTTTGTGGCCGGCATGTTAGCTTGCACGATTCTTGCCATTCTCCTTCGACCCCTCATCAACAAGCTGCTTTTGCCCACAGGACTTGCCACTGACTGGATTATTTTTGTTTGTTGCACCACTTTTTGTAAACCCTAGACCAGGGTTCCCCAACTGGCAGCCCGTGGGTCGTTGTGCCCCCCAAGTTTTCAAAAAACAAAAAAAAACTCCTGGAAATCAGTTCCAATTTATTTGAATTTTGAAAATCTGTTCCCAAGTATTCCCACACATAAGAGGGACATGATCGTATACAAATGTAAACAAGGTTTGAACTGATTACGTTTTAGTCAAATATTATATTGGTTTGGGATTCTTGCAGTCAATTTGCAGTCTACAAATTAATTGTAATTATGTTACGGCCCCGCGACCATCCATTCAAGAAAATAATTGGCCCACAGCTGAATCAAGTTGATGATCCCTGCCATAGACACTGTCGTGCGTCAAAATCCCAGGAGGCTGTCCATTTCTGAGATACTGGGACCGGCACGCCTGGCACCGACGATCATACCACGCTCAAAGTTGCTTAGGTCACTTGTTTTGCCCATTTGAATGTTTAATCGAACAGTAACTGAATGCTTTGATACCTGTCTGCCTGCTTTATATAGCAAGCCACGGCCCTGTCTGTAGGAGCTAACCATTTTCATGAACGGGGTGGTGTACCTAATACACTGGCCAATGGGTGTAAAGTCTTATCGTAAAGTTATTTCGCAAAATAAATTCACGTTTCAATGCATGCCACCTTTTTATGACAAATTATATATATATTTTTTTAAGAAATAAACAAGGAGGAAGATGGAGGAGACCGAAGACAGAGAGGACATCAGAAGCCAAAGTCAAAGGCCTTATTCGGAAATGTATGTGCTTATTCTCACATAAATCATCTTTCCTTAATTTGTTGGCATTTTATTCATGAGTTGTAACAAGATAAATGGTGTTCCCCAGGCAGCGATGATGAGCCCTCTGTGTTGAGCAAGAAGAAGGTTAGTAGTTTCAGACCACTTGTAGAGGCATCTATTTCATAATAAATCATATGTATGGTTCATGTAAGATTTTATGGGTTTAGAGTCCAACTGTGCAGATATGTAATGCATGCGATGCAACTAAGAAACAATTGTGTTTTAGCATGCTAGATTCACATTAGATTCACAAACACTACATACGCACACACACGCATACCGACACAACACAAACACACATACATACACATTACACACGCACATTCACACACTTTTACACTCATCATTTGCTGCTGCTACTCTGTTCTTTATTTTACTCTTATTATTATCTATCCTGATTCCTAGTCACTACCCTGCCTTCATGTACATATCTACCTCAAATACCTTGTACCTCTGCACATTGATTACTGGTACTCCCTGTATATAGCTCCATTCATGTTTATTTTATTGTATTCCTCTTGTGTTACTATTTTATTTTTAAACTGCATTTTTGGGAAGGGCTCGAAAGCAAAGCAAGCATTTCACGGTAAAATCTACACCAGTTGCATTCGGCGCATGTGACATAACATTTGATTAAATGTGTTATTGTTGGTTAGAAATATGTTCAGCAGATCTAGCCTTTCCCATGTTCGTATTTGCTCAGCCAAGAGTTTTCAATAATACTCTGGCATAGAATAAGTAGCATCAATGTGGCCCCCTGTCCTCATAGGCCCAATGGGTGCTTGTCTGGGATTTTCAACAGCCAAGCCTCCTTTTGAAAGGTTTTCTCTCTTTTCCAGGTGAGAGGACCTCTGTGCTCTTGGTCTCCGGCCCAGACAGGCACAGCAATGGGGACTATAACACAGTGCATGTGAGTAGGCCACTTCGTTAACATTTTGATTTTCCAGCTCACCGAGCAGAGACACAGTAACTACTTCTTATGGTACTTAACAATTTGTTGGAAACGCTGTTATAATCATCTTTATCATAACAAAGTTGAAATAGATGGAGACTCTTTCTCTCTGAAGTTTGTTTTTGACTTAAAAAAAGACAACCAATGAAAGATGTCCTTTTGTGTGTGTGTGTCCTTTGTCTACTCTGCAGTGCAGAACCCATTTGGGTGCCCGAGGAGGAGCCGTCTGAGGATGACTGTAAACAGTATCGCCGCAAAACACAGGACTGCCCATTTCTGCCTGTTGCTGTACCCGTTCCTGCCAGTGGCAACTCGAGGTGAGTTGGTCCGCACACAATTAATGTATATAGATGGAGTGTGTATATATTGTAGGTAGAGGTTGTAGGATGAGTTAAAGACCCTGTGCAAGGTGATCGTTTTCTCAATAGAAACAGTGAATTTAAGTGTGTTTTAGTGAGTAGTGATTTTGAGTCCATTTTTGAGAGTATGAGTGAAATTGGTCAACGCAATTTGTGTAGATCTGATCTGATATTTCCCTCCCAGGCAGTTCTTCCATCCCTCTGAGTGGAGTAGCAGCCCCTTTCCTCTGAGACCCCTCTCACCTTTCTCTACTGCTGCTTCACCTCTTGGCTCGGGGCATTTTGGTGAGTCCTACTTTGAAATGCTTATCAACCATTTAGTGAGTCTGTTCAAAGGAACCCTCTCTGATTTTTTTCTTCTTCTTTCTCTCCCAAAACCCGGTATAAATGTTAACTTGAATCACTGAGTTTGAATGAGGTCACGCAAAGTGACTTTAAGCTACTAAGCTACATTGTGGGAGTAAGCTACTTTTTTGGAATAATTTACATCATGTGTCTGGGTTGTGCAGTACCCTGGCATCAGGAGTTACGTTTTGTGAAGGCACCAAAACCAAAACCTTTAATCCATAGGTTATGCCTAATTTTATGCTACGTTGGACCATTGTTAAGTTTCTCACAATACTTCTAATATTCATGATTATGTCTCATAATAGTCTTTCAGGGAAGAGTTTGCGCAGTCACCTGCCCCAAAGGAGGGGAGAAGAAGGGCACCCGTGGAACTGGCTCCAAAGGCCCCTCCAAACAGACAGAGGCCCTGACGACTAGGCGCTCTGGCCGCCACAGCAGGGCTGAGGAACAAGCTCCTACACAAGACCCTGCATCTTCGCAGTCCCACTCTTCAGATTCCGACACTTCCACAAACCCACCTACGAAAGCGGGCAAAAGCACTGCAGCCGCTGGTAAGAGGAAGGGCAAACGGGCAGCTCAGCGAAAGCCCAGCGCCAAGAAGAAAGCCCCAGCCAGAAAAAAGGCCTCCAAAGTCGTCCTCAGTAGCCCATCAGGAAGTGAGGAAGCCAAAGAGGAGGAGGAGGAAGAGGAGGAGGAGGAATTAGAACAGCAGAGGAAAGAGGTAGAGGAAGGTGAGCAGCTCTCAGACACTGCAGTGAGCCCACAGGCTGTGCAGCGCAGCTCCAGCCCTACCGAGGAGGAAGCCAGTCCAGAACCTTCTGCTTGTGATGCCCTGAAGGACACTGAGGACCAGCCATGCAAAGATGATGATCTTTCTGAGGAAGAGAAACTGGGGAAGGAGGAAGAGGAGGATGTTGAGGAAGAGGACCAGAAGTCACCGTCATCAGATGTAGAGCTGAATACCCCTGGGCTCCAGGACCAAATAGACCAAATAGAAGACCCAGAGAAAAGCAACTCACCCACCTCTTCCAACTCACCAGAGAGACCATTGGAGAGCCCCCAGTCTGGGCAGTCAGGACAACTTGGGGAGGAAGATGCTGACACCATGGAAGCCACTGCTGATCCAACAGAAGTGAAATCTGATGATGAAGCCTCGGTGGAGGAAGAGAAAGCAGAGGCCTCTCCCTGCCCTATTGCAGAGCCTGAATGTTGCTCTGGCTCTACTCGCTGTGACTCTCCAGATGGGAATGCGTCCCAGAAAGTTCAAGGCACCTCAGAATCAAAGGTGTCCGAGGAGGACAAGCTGCATGATCAAAAGGATGTCACAAATGAGAAATCAGCAGCCAGCAGCAAAGAGGACGATCTGTCTGAGGATGACACAGAAGCTATACCGATGGACTGTGATTCACCCAGCAGTGAGCGCTGCACCAACCTGGCCTCTGATCCACCAAAGGAGACTGAAAGTACAGCTCACGAGTCCACAAGCCAGGCCCCTGAAGACGAGAGGAATGGTAGCAGGCAGGAGCGGGAGAGCTCGGTCGGAGAGGAAAAGGTAGAGGAAAGGAAGAATGGCAGGCAGCGGAAGTCGCGCTTCCACTCTGCCGCCACCACTTGGTCTCCCAAGAGGGAGTCGAAGCAGGACTCGTCAAGGAGGTCGCGCTCCAGATCTCGGGAGCGCAACAGGGAGCGTCAGGCCTCTGGCAGCCCCCCCTCCAGACGCAGCAGGGAACGGGAAGCCCCCAGGACGGACCGTAGCCGTGACCGTAGCCGTGAGAGGAAAAACAGGAAGCGCTCTAAGAGCCGTTCCAGATCTAGTTCTCGCTCCAGGTCCAGAAACAGGTCCTACCGAAGAGGGTCGTCCCCGGAGCGCCCTGACTCAGGGGGACAGTCACCACGGAAGAGGGATCGCTGGACTGGAGATGGATGGAGGGCTGGGCCGGGTAGTGACTCCTCTCGAAGGAATTTCCCAGAGAGGCCGGCCAGAGACTCGGGCCGCTCTGAAAATGGTGGCTTTGCAGAGGTTTCCCCCAGCAGGGAAAATCCTGACTGGGTTATGGAGAAGGCGCGTTCTGATACAGAGGCCAAGGTGACAAGCGGCCCTCGCTGGGAAGATAAAGGCTGGGGCGCAGATCGTGGACGAGGCACAGGACGAGGCCGGGGTGCCTACGGAACCTCCAATCAACAGGGGGAGCAGGCAGAAAACCGCTGGCAGCCCAGAAACGCATTCTCGGGGACCTCAAACAATTCAGGGAGCGACGCGTACAGCCGATTCAACGAGAACCGGGGCGGCCGCAGGAAGGAGCCTGAGATGGGCGAATCGATGATGGACCGCTCCGGCTGGTCATCAGCTTCCAGCTGGGCTGTGCGGAGGACACTCCCGGCAGACGTGCAGAACTATTACTCCAGGAGAGATCGAGGGGGAGGTGCAGGCTCTGGCAGCTGGAGCAGGCAGGAGGAGACGTCAACAGCAGGTCAGAACCCTTCTTTAGATTGTGTTTCATGGAGTGTATGCACTCATTACTGTTTCTAGTTTCGCTGTGCATATTGAAATGGTATTGTTGATGTTTGTTGCGCAGTTGATGTGGATCCCACTTCTGCCACCAATGTACAACTTAATAAAAGCCCAGGATGTACTTCAGGTAATCTGATATTATTCTTTATTTGTTTTTGTCTATTTCAGATCCACCTCAGAGTGAGCCCAATGCCCATGGAGAAGCTCCACCCGCCCTGAACGTCATGCCTCCCCAACTGAACGTCCTGCATTACCCAATGGGCCCACGAGGCCCACCTGTCAGCCTGCAACCACCCCCCTTCGGGATGCCTCCTCAGGTCCCCATGCACCTCCACTCCTCAGTGCCTCTCCTGCAGGTCCCTGTGACAGCTGCCCAGGGCCTCCCACCACCGCCTCCACCACCACCTCCCATGCAGCAGGGCAGCATGACGGCCATACAGGCAGATAGCCGCACAACACAGGTAAGGACAGGAGTATTTTACATCCTTTGTCAAAATATAATCTTCTGGACCCAATCAATCTGTTTGAGTATTTTTACTTCTCTCATACTTAATTCAATCAACTGTAGATAGTGTATTTCCGGATAGCACTTTCAGAAATGTGTTGTATTTGCATAGTAGTGTGTCCCGGTCTCTTTCCCAGATGATGAGCAGCATGGCCGTCCATGGCAAAGCCCCCTTCATGCCCACCACGACCAAAGTAGGTGGCGCCACCACAGCCCAGGCCTACAGCATGGCCATGCCATCCTCCACCACCCAGCACAGCAGGGCCGCCCACCCAGACAGCTCCAAGAAAGAAAAGGTAATGTCACCGCCACTAATAACAGCCACAGCACTAGGCATTGTTCAAATCAAATCAAATGTTATTTGTCACATACACGTGTTAAGCAGATGTTATTACGGGTGTAGCGAAATGCTTGTGCTTCTAGCTCTGACAGTGCAGGAATATCTAACAAGTAATATCTAACAATTTCACAACATATACCTAATACAAACAAAACTAAGTAAGGAATGGAATTAAGAATATATACATATATGGACAAGCAATGACAGAGCAGCAGGGACTAAGATACAGTAGAATATTATAGAATACAGTATATACATATGAGATGAGTAATGCAAGATATGTAAACATTTAAGTGACTAGTGTTCCATTTCTTAAAGTGGCCAGTGATTTCAATAGGCAGCAGCAGCCTCTAATGTGCTAGTGATGGCTATTTAACAGTATGATGGCCTTGAGATAGAAGCTGTTTTTCAGTCTCTCGGTCCCAGCTTTGATGCACCTGTACTGACCTCGCCTTCTGGATGATAGCAGGGTGAACAGGCAGTGGCTCGGGTGGTTGATGTCCTTGATTATCTTTTTGACCTTCCTGTGACATCGGGTGCTGTAGGTGTCCTGGAGGGTGGGTAGTTTGCCCCTGGTAATGTGTTCGGCAGACCGCACACCACCCTCTGGAGAGCCCTGCGGTTGCGGGCGGTGCAGTTGCGGTACCTGGCGGTGAAACAGCCCGACAGGATGCTCTCAATTGTGCATCTGTAAAGGTTTGTGAGGGTTTTAGGTGCCAAGCCAAATGTCTTAAGCCTCCTGAGGTTGAAGAGGCTCTGTTGCGCCTTCTTCACCACACTGTCTGCGTGGGTGGACCATTTCAGTTTGTCAGTGATGTGTACGCCAAGGAACTTGAAGCTTTCCACCTTCACCACTGCGGCCTGTCGATGTGGATAGGGGGGTGCACCCTCTGCTGTTTCCTGAAGTCCATGATCATCTCCTTTGTTTTGTTGACGTTGAGTGAGAGGTTTTTTTCCTGGCACCTTACTCCCAGAGCTCTCACCTCCTCCCTGTAGGCTGTCTCGTCATTGTTGGTAATCAAGCCTACTACTGTTGTGTCGTCTGCAAACTTGATGATTGAGTTGGAGGAATGCTTGGCCACGCAGTCATGGGTGAACAGGGAGTACAGGAGGGGGCTGAGCACGCACCCTTGAGGGGCCCCAGTGTTGAGGATCAGCAAAGTGGAGATGTTGTTTCCTACCTTCACCACCTGGGGGTGGCCCGTCAGGAAGTCCAGGATCCAGTTGCACAGGGCAGGGTTCAGACCCAGGGCCTCGAGCTTAATGATGAGCTTGGTGGGTACTATGGTGTTGAATGCTGAGCTATAATCAATTAACAGCATTCTTACATAGGTATTCATCTTGTCCAGATGGGGCAGTGTGATGGTGTTTGCATCGTCTGTGGATCTACAGTGGGGGAAAAAAGTATTTAGTCAGCCACCAATTGTGCAAGTTCTCCCACTTAAAAATATGAGAGAGGCCTGTAATTTTCATCATAGGTACACGTCAACTATGACAGACAAATTGAGATTTTTTTTCTCCAGAAAATCACATTGTAGGATTTTTTATGAATTTATTTGCAAATTATGGTGGAAAATAAGTATTTGTTCACCTACAAACAAGCAAGATTTCTGGCTCTCACAGACCTGTAACTTCATCTTTAAGAGGCTCCTCTGTCCTCCACTCGTTACCTGTATTAATGGCACCTGTTTGAACTTGTTATCAGTATAAAAGACACCTGTCCACAACCTCAAACAGTCACACTCCAAACTCCACTATGGCCAAGACCAAAGAGCTGTCAAAGGACACCAGAAACAAAATTGTAGACCTGCACCAGGCTGGGAAGACTGAATCTGCAATAGGTAAGCAGCTTGGTTTGAAGAAATCAACTGTGGGAGCAATTATTAGGAAATGGAAGACATACAAGACCACTGATAATCTCCCTCGATCTGGGGCTCCACGCAAGATCTCACCCTGTGGGGTCAAAATGATCACAAGAACGGTGAGCAAAAATCCCAGAACCACACGGGGGGACCTAGTGAATGACCTGCAGAGAGCTGGGACCAAAGTAACAAAGCCTACCATCAGTAACACACTACGCCGCCAGGGACTCAAATCCTGCAGTGCCAGACGTGTCCCCCTGCTTAAGCCAGTAAATATCCAGGCCCGTCTGAAGTTTGCTAGAGTGCATTTGGATGATCCAGAAGAGGATTGGGAGAATGTCATATGGTCAGATGAAAGCAAAATATAACTTTTTGGTAAAAACTCAACTCGTCGTGTTTGGAGGACAAAGAATGCTGAGTTGCATCCAAAGAACACCATACCTACTGTGAAGCATGGGGGTGGAAACATCATGCTTTGGGGCTGTATTTCTGCAAAGGGACCAGGACGACTGATCCGTGTAAAGGAAAGAATGAATGGGGCCATGTATCGTGAGATTTTGAGTGAAAACCTCCTTCCATCAGCAAGGACATTGAAGATGAAACGTGGCTTGGTCTTTCAGCATGACAATGATCCCAAACACACCGCCCGGGCAACGGAGTGGCGGCTTCGTAAGAAGCATTTCAAGGTCCTGGAGTGGCCTAGCCAGTCTCCAGATCTCAACCCCATAGAAAATCTTTGGAGGGAGTTGAAAGTCCGTGTTGCCCAGCGACAGCCCCAAAACATCACTGCTCTAGAGGAGATCTGCATGGAGGAATGGGCCAAAATACCAGCAACAGTGTGTGAAAACCTTGTGAAGACTTACAGAAAACGTTTGACCTGTGTCATTGCCAACAAAGGGTATATAACAAAGTATTGAGAAACTTTTGTTATTGACCAAATACTTATTTTCCACCATAATTTGCAAATAAATTCATTAAAAATCCTACAATGTGATTTTCTGGAGAGAAAAAATCTCATTTCGTCTGTCATAGTTGAGGTGTACCTATGATGAAAATTACAGGCCTCTCTCGTATTTTTAAGTAGGAGAACTTGCACAATTGGTAGCTGACTAACTACTTTTTTTCCCCACTGTATTTGGGCGGTAAGCATATTGAAGTTCGTCTAGGGTGACAGGTACGGTAGAGGTGATATGATCCTTGAATAGTCTCAAAGCACTTCATGATGACAGAGGTGAGTGCTAGTGGGCGATAGTCATTTAGTTAAGTTACCTTTTGCTTTCTTGGGTACAGGAACAATGGTGGCCATCTTGAAGCATGTGGGGACAGCAGACTGGGAAAGGGAGAGATTGAATATATCCGTAAACACACCAGCCAGCTGGTCTGCGCATGCTCTGAGGACGCGGCTAGGGATGCCGTCTGGGTCGGCAGCCTTGCGGGGGTTAACATGCTTAAATGTCTTACTGACGTCGGCCACGGAGGAGGAGGAGAGCCCACAGTCCTTGGTATTGGGCCGTGTCGGTGGCACTGTGTTATCCTCAAAGCGGGCAAGGAAGGTGTTTAGCTTGTCCGGAAGCAAGACGTCGTGGCTGGTTTTCCTTTTGTAGTCCGTGATTGTCTGTAGACCCTGCCACATACGTCTCGTGTCTGAACCGTTGAATGTTCTCAATATTCTCAAGTGGCTTCCTATACTTTCTGTTTTGTATATACTGTGGAGAGCTGCTTTGCTAGTAAATGATTTGTGTTTCATTCTGACAGAGAATGAATAATCATTTTATTAGATTAGAACTAGATTTCTTAACTTGATATCTGCTTTAGAAACAACAGATCCATGAGAGAGCAGTCAATGAAGTGAAAGCAGCCATGAAACCCTACTACCAAAACAAGGACATCACCAAGGACGAGTACAAAGAGATTGTACGCAAAGCAGTTGAAAAAGTGAGTGGTTAAAAACCTCCAGTAACATTTTGACATTGGTATTTCAACTTAGCTTTTAGGAGTATTAAAACTACTTAGCTTTTAGGAGTATTAAAACTACTTAGCTTTTAGGAGTACATTTAGATTTTAGGAGTATTAAACATAAGATCAATAACCCAGCAGAACGCAAAATAGGGAGTCCAACAAATCAAAACGGTCTGTTATATATTTTGATTTGCTAAGTCCATTTTATATTTCAGGTCTGCCACAGCAAGAGTGGAGAGGTGAACTCTGGGAAAGTGGCAAACTTGGTGAAGGCCTACGTGGACAAATACAAACACGCTCGCAAGAAATGAACCCTGACATCCGCTGAGGGGGAAATAGTCTCAGCCCATCTGCTTAAGTGCAATTTCTACCAGCTGTAACACAGCCTCCCGGCTGACAAAGACTGGAGCCCGACTTTTGATATCTCTTACCTTACATGAAGATTTTTCTATAGATTTCATATTTTATTTAGAAATAATCAAATCGGAAACTGTAGTGTGAGAAGACCGTTATTTCAAGTCGATCTTGTGGCTTGGGAACTACTATGAGATAGATGCCCAGAGTAGCTGGAGCAGTAAGGTTAGCACCTGTTCTCTGGTGAGATGGACATGGAGCTATGGCTAGTACAGAGGAGAGCACCCTCTCATGGAGCCAGCTGGTATGATGAATTTCTCCCACTCGCCACCGGGGACCTCCTAATTACTTCTTTGTTCAAAAAATATTGTCATTGTTTCTCATTTGTTTTTGTTTTATAAATATTATATTATGATAATTCTGGAGAAAGGTAAATGTGCATTGCCTTTATGACTCTCTAGGCTGCGTTCACACAGGCAGCCCAATTCTGATATTTTTCCAGTAATTGGTCTTTTGATCAATCGGGTCAGGTCTGGAAAAGATCTGATTGGTCAAAACACCAATTAGTGGAAAAAATATCAGAATTGGTCTGCTTGTGTAAACAGAGCCTTAGTCGTTACTGCTCAAAGCTTGTGGACTGGATATGTGTAATTGTATCAGGGACCTCATTGTTGAGAGTTGGAGATCAGTTGTCCAATCCGCAGTGAATGTGTAGTGTAAGGTATGGGTCTGGCAGATCAGGTGAAAATGGCCATGTCCCTTACTTGATAAATGTGCTGCGTGAACATTGTGTGAAATACCCAGAGAGCAATGAAATAAATGAGCTGCTTCATGTCTGGCTATGTGTGTGTCTTTGTGGTTGATCATTGAAAAGGTAGTGACCCCATCCATCAATTTCACCCTCAGAATTTATATTTTTTAAAGGTCCAACGCAGCTGTTTTTATCTCTATATCAAATCATTTCTGGGTAACAATTAAGTACCTTACTGTGATTGTTTTCAATTAAAATTGTAACAAATATACAAAAATATATTCTTGGCCAAGAGCAATTTCTCAATCAAGAATTTAGCTAGGACTGTCTGGGAGAGGTCTGAGTGGGAGGGGAAAACAGAAGGTAGCTGTTATTGGCAGAGGTTTTGAACCACCCTTGGTCTATTAACACATTTACTGTCACCAGGCAGGCCAAAACTACATTCCACCAAAACAGACTGAAATTTCAGGTGCTTTTCAAACAGCTCTTACACTAAAAGGGCATTATCATTTTCACAATTTCACAGGACAGACATATTTTGTTATGATCATGAAGACACACTTGCCAGTGTTTCTCAAAGGGAGTCGAATGTTTGTAAACCTGCAAATGTGCTTCACTATTTTCACCAGCAGGGCGAGCCTTTGTCAAATCCATCGTCAGGTTTTTTTTAAATCAACCCACCATTTCATAGAAAAGATTTGAACACAGTAAACATATGACAGTGCACAGTGGCAATCAGGGCCGGTTCCAGACATAAACGGTCGCTTAGGTCGGGGTCTCAACTAGTAAAAATTGTAGAATACACCAGGTGCAATTTCAGAATTTGGTTGTGTTTTCTCTTATGTCAGTCACTAACCAGGTTTCCATCCAACCTTTTTACAAGTTAAGTACATGTCGGATAAAAAATGTCATGACAGGCCTGCATGATGGAAACAGAAAATGTTTCGGTAAACTTTCCAAATATCGACAAAACAAAATACGCTAGACAAGGTGGGATCTTTTTGTTGGTAAAATGAATTATGCGAAAAATGTCGGAAACGCTTTTATGCGCAAATATTGATAGGCCTAATAACCATCATCTCGAAGTAAATTTGGAGTAACGCGATTACATGTTGTGTGGTCCTCCCACTAGGACTCATCGTGAAAGCAACCAATTCATCAGGTTACAGATTAAATCAATTATGAACTTCACAGGGTGGTGAAAGTGCAAGGTGATGAGCTTGATGCTCCTCTCCAGTATTGAGGGATTTATTCTTGTGACATGATAATCGATCGATTCTTGGCTTCCGTTTGACAAATAAAAAAAAGTATTAATTTATTATTTGTCCATAATAATAATAATATCATGTAGGCTATATGGGTGATTCTACGGAAATCTTGGATTTTGAAGAGCCAACATTTATTTTAATTATTTATTTTAATTTTAAATCAACATTTACTCAGTAATAGTTAACCCTTTACCATTATAAATCAACATAAATGCCAACTTTAATGTATTTTAATATTTTTAATACATTACATAAAAAAATGCAAGTGCTGCCTTTGTCACTGGTGTTACCTATATTTTAGATGACAATTCAGGCTTTCCTGGATGTAATTTCACAATTTAATTTGCATATATAATAAAAGACAGAAAAGGTTCATGCTAATATTAAGAAATTGTTTTGATTAGTAAAAAAGTACTTTAAACCGGTATGTGTGAAGTTCTGTGTGACATTTTTATATTTCTACCAAGTGTTTTGTGTTGTAACATCAGAAATAATTGAGGTTGAGTCATCAAAATTGGATGATCATATCCTTAAAATGCTTACTAATGAATGCTGCAGCAGTTGGGTAGATACAAATAAACATTCTATGAAAATGGGGAACTGATGCCAGAACACCAATATGCCATGCAGTAACACCAGTGACACAATGTGAAACCAATGACATAACATACGATTATTTCATACAAATTTGAGCCATTTAGTCATATGTTTTATTACAAATAATTGTAGAACGTGTTGATTTCATATGCACAATAAAATGAAGGTTATAGTTCAAATATTAAGACCAAAAGATGAAGCCTATTGACTAAAATGTCTTTCCTAACACAACATTGTCATACAAACATAAAACTTGTCTATTAGAACAATAGAAACACAACATTGAATGTAAACTAAGACTACGTTTTTCCAAAAGCACTGATATAAACATATTGTATGCAGTAAAACATTCATGGAATAGACCTATTTCCTGTACTAACTTTTCCCGTACTAATTATTTCCCACACTTTTAATTGAGATGTTTGTCTTTAGAAAGGTTTGTGAACTATGATGAACAACCATACCCTGGCATTATACTGGAGGTCGAAGAACATAACATCAAAGTTAAGTGCATGCACAGGAAAGGAGTCAACAAGTTCTTCTGGCCAAGCCCAAGAGATGATATCAACTGGTATGGGGATGACCAGATTGTGTCTGATGCCAAAGCCGCTGCCAGTGAACAAAAGATCAGCTCAGATTGGCCACAGTATCTGGAAGTACTTGGAGGAGCACCTGAACATGTGAAAGTGGCAGATGTGAACTGGCTACCAAAGAAGAAGCCGTCAGTGGCTAGAAAGCAATGGAGACTGGCTCGGAGATGATAACAGATGGACGTGACACATTAACATCTATATGTTTGTCTTTGCCATGTTAATGTGTCACGTCCATCTGTTATCATCTCCGAGCCAGTCTCCATTGCTTTCTAGCCACTGACGGCTTCTTCTTTGGTAGCCAGTTCACATCTGCCACTTTCACACATTCAGGTGCTCCTCCAAGTACTTCCAGATCCTCCAAGTACTTCCAGATTCTATGTGGCAGCAACATAGAATACATTAGTGTGGACCGTCACCTGCTTGTATGAACCCCCGAAGTGAACTGACTATCTTTGAAGCATACTTGCATGTGAAGTTTTCACTCAAATCTATATGGATCAGGCAGTCATTGGTCAGGTTCTCTCTCAAGGTCCTGTAGCTGTGGTACTGCCATCGGATGTTGAACAGCTGTTTCCTACATTTAAAGAGCCTATACTGGAACTGGTCACCAGCTCTTCCTCGGTTATAGCTATATCCTTCTTCACAGTGATTAAGCTACTTTTCTCTTGTTCTTCATTTGCTCTGTTGTGCTCTATCTTCTCCAGACACCACTGGGTGAGCGACACATCTTCGTTGGATTGCTGTCTAGCCGGTGGTGCAATGGAGTGTTCACGTTCTTGGCATTCGCCATAGGCGCATGCCTTTGGATTGTTGCAAACTGTGCTCTCTGCAATCTCCTCCAGGTTGCTGGACTGTGAAAGACCAAGTTTGTGCATTTTATCTGCCATAAACTGCAAGTTCTCAGGAGTCTTGCACTGGCAAATTTCCCGGTCTCTCTCCTGCGGTGTCACCACCCAAAAGGGTATTTCCCTGCAGAAGAAGCGGTCAACACTCTCTCTCCTGCTCTCAACATCTCTCTTTGTTTTTCTGTCTGACCCGACATTGCTTTCGCTACTGTCTTTTTCCTCTTTCTGTGAGATCATTCACTTTCTTTCTTTTTTGACTCTCTAAATCCTTTAAATATGTAGGCTACACTGTGGTCTGGGTCAGCATCCCTGCGCTGTCTGTAGAGTCTTTGCTTTTCAGCAGCACTTACTTTTTATTTGCTATATCTATCAAAAGGAAAGCCATACAAATTACAATATTGAAACAGTATAAAACCTTACGTTGATATAAAAAGTTAGCAGTGTTATTGATTGTCACTGGTGTTACTGTCATGTCACTGGTGTTACCAGCAGGAACAGTAACACCAGTGATGTAACACCAGTGACGAATCTGCTGACAAGATGGCATATCTAAAATGGGGGCCACAGTAGCTCAAACCACACTTCTTAAATTGTAAATAAATCACTTAGTAATGTGATTGGATCAATTATTTAAATCATATTTCCTTTCCCCATACTATAAACTGTATAACACCAGTGACGGGTTTTAAAGCTTCGCATTAAATTTACCAAATTAATCATCAAATTGCTAACATATGAAGAGAGAGTGCAGACTCAACATGTGCTCTTCAAAACAGCCCTGCCTCCAATTAACCTTTGACCACGAAGAAGTTGGCAAGGATGTTGCATTGTTTCAAAGTAGTGTTTTCTTAATTAAGGGTAACACCAGTGACATGAAATTGAGGGACAGCTATTTCCTGTAAATTATTTATAATATTTAGTTGATATTTTCGTTTTTTAAGTAATTCCCTAAACAGCTTTAATACTTTAATTTGTATTATGACATTTAAAGTTGGAGAAATAAATATATTTTGACTCAAAATATGTCACTAAACCATGACTCCTGGCTCGAGGGACAAGACATTTTCATGGTGCTGACCGTGTTCTACGATAATATGAAAAATATAATTTGCAATATAACTGTCTTACATATGTTTATTAACAATAAAACATTTCAATTAAAACATATATTTTGTGTCATTATCTGATTTTTTTGGTGTTTTTCCATGGTGGTTAAGGCGGGGGACAGGAAAGCCACCATTTCCGTAGAATAACCCATATGTGCGCTCTAGCTAACATCGCGCAGATAGCGTTGTAAGTTGAAAATGCGATGGAAACCCATTTAACTTGTATTTTTTATTCGGTACATGGGAATTTAACCACAAAAGGTATTTTAATGTGCAATACATCATCACACACAGCCTTTTATCTACAGCAAGTCAATTTCATGGAAACATCTCTGGTGGGAAAATGCACATATTGTTTTCATGCACATTTTTGAATATTCGCATGAAACTCTGTCACCAATTGGATGGAAACCCAGCTACTGACAGTCACTCAATTAGCCATGTCAGCTAACAATTTTTTGATTGGTAGTTAGTCAGCTGTCTAAACTTGTAGTAATGATGGCTGAATACCTACTAGGCCCAGGGGGCCCTGACCTCCAGGGAGCCCCCATTGATTTTGTTACTCATTCTCACTCAGATATCATATTAACGTGGCATAAGTCATTAATAAATTGGTAGAATTGCAGGAAATTAGCTGTAAAACTGATTTTATTTTCTCTACGCCCCATGGCAAAATGTGTAGAATTAAATGTTTCTCTCCACCGTCACGAGGGGGGCCATTAAAATGTTTTGCCTTGAGGTGGGGGGCCCCTCAACCAACTCTGGCTTAGGGCCCCCAAAATATACCACAGGGGGGAGTGATGGGTTTGATCATATGGCCTTGTGGTAGGCTTTGTAGTGTTATTATGCACTTTCAAGGTAAATGACCCCACTTGACTGTCACACAGTGATTTAGTTTCATTTTCAGAAATCACTTCAATAGCTAGATTTCCATCCATTTGACAGATTTTCATGCGAATATTCTAAAATATGCATAAATATGCACATTTTACCACCGTAGTGTGTTTCCACCAAACGGATTCATTGCGGATAAAAAACAGTGCATGATGACATAGTGCACACAAAATGTACTTTTTCACTTACGTTTTCATGTACCGAATAAAAATCGAATGTTCAATGTGTTTCCATCGCATTTTCATCTCTACCAATAGTTTTGACACAAAAACTGTTGCGTTAAATAGAAAATGTGACTAGTCTGGTCTTGGCACGTGCACTTTAGCTAAACAGCTCGCAGATTCTGTGCGGGTAGGCTCTGCAGGTAGGTTAGTCTACAATACATGACGAGATTATTAGAGATAAGGGCGAGAATATTTGTCTTTGTCAAACTGCAGTCAAGCATCGATCATCATGTCACCAGAACAACACCCACGATATTTATTGGAAAGGAGCGTCAAGCTCATACTGGTCCGTGCACTTTCACCACCCTGTGAAGTTCATCATAACTTATTTCATAGTGGGAGGACCACACACCATGTCATTGCGTGACTCCAAGTTTATTTCAATATTTGTATTTGTATTTTATTATGGATAACCATTAGCTGAAGCAGCAATATTAAGGCAATTTACATAGTTAAAACATTACACTTCACAACACATTAATACACACTACTAAAACATATCTACAATACAAAATCCATATGTAGTGTGTGTAAAGTGGCTGTTAGCATGTGTGTGTGTATGCGTGTGTCTGTGCCTGTGTGTGTGGCTCTTCACAGTCCGTGCTGTTCCATAAGGTGTAGTTTAATCTGTTTTTTAAAATCTGATTTTACTGCTTGCATGAGTTTTCTTGATGTGGAATAGAGTTCCATGTAGTCATGGCTCTATGTAGCACTGTTTGTTTCCCATAGCCTGTTCTGTACTCAGGGACTGTGAAGAGACCTCTAGTGGCATGTCTTGTGGGGTATGCATGGGTGTCTCAGCTGTGTGCTGGTCATTTAAACAGACAGCTCAGTGCATTCAACATGTCAATACTTCTCACAAATACAAGTGATGAAGTCAATCTCTCCACTACTTTGAGCCAGGAGAGATTGACATGCATATTATTAATGTTAGCTCTCCGTGCACATTTAAGGGCCAGCCGTGCTGCTCTATTCTGGGCCAATTGTAATTTGCCTATGGCCCTCTTTGTGGCACTTGGCCATATGACTGGACAGTAGTCCAGGTGCGACAAAACTAGGGCCCGTAGGACTTGTTTAGTTAATAGTGATGTCAAGAAAGCAGAGCAGCGCTTTAATACGGACAGACCTCTTCCCATCTCAGCTACCGTTGCTTCAATATGTTTTGACCATGACAGTTTAGCATCCTGGGTTACACCTCAACTTTCCACCGCAGTTTTTCCGCATAATTAATTTTAGAGACACAAAAAGATACCACCATGTCGAACGAACAAATGATCTCTCAGCATTTATAAAATTGCATCGAAACTTCCTGTTTCCATCACAGCTGTCGTGATTATTTTTTAATACGGTATGACTTTACTCGCATAAAAGCTGTGGATGAAAATGTGGTTAATGAGGCCATTTGCATGGTTCGGACCATTGAGTTGTGCTTTTATTTATTTCAGCAAGGCAGAGTAAAGATGTATCTTATACATCTTTGGCTGTTCAAATACAATCACCAGCACTACTTTATCATCACGTCTAGAATAAGGTTGTGTCCTCCTGTCACCTCATATTCATCATTTGATCTCATATTGCTGGAGTAATACTTCACTGTGCAAACACTCTTGGACTTATGATTCTGGACGATGTATCTCATTCATGCCAACATTTGAAAAATGCATAATTTCCCACCACAATATTTAGATATTCTCTCCTGAAATGTGTAAGTCGCTCTGGATAAGAGCGTCTGCTAAATGACGTAAATGTAAATGTATTTTTGTGCAGTTTATTAATAAAAAATGAGGGGATTCCAGTTCTTTGTCTCAGGAGTTGCCATCACTTTCCCGGCATATGGTGGGCTCCCTGCAAAAACACACCAAAATCAGCTGGTCTGCTAAATATAACTGACACAATAAAGACTCAACAATGTGTGGGATTTATACTTTATTTGGACAATAATTACATGATGTACATAGTGTTTCATTGAAACAAGAGTGTAACACTGGTGGGCGATGCCCTCTTTGCTCCTGAGGTCAAGAGATGGCTCACATACTCTCTAACCAAGATGTGCGTAAATGATGTGAGTACAGTACATCAGGGTCACAAATAGAACAAGTGTGAAGTGTGTTACACAAAGATCACTGCCACTATGTTTTGGTCGGTTCCACTTTAAACATGGTCTTTCCGAATTACAGCAAGTAGAAGAGGGATAACTCTCTCACTATGGTTTCAGAAATGAAAGTGAACAGCTCCATACTTAATCATAGGGGGGTAAATTGATAAAGACCAAATTCACCAGCTATTTTTACAGCTCTGATAATTTTTGTGTGAAATGCCAATGAAAGGTTAAACAAAACATAGCGTATATACAGTAGTTCAACTCATAGATATATATACATATATTTACAATATATAAATATAGTAAAATAGATAAAATTACATTGATTTCATGTTCTTCCATAAATAATCGCAGGACAATAACAGTTTGGATGATGTGTGAGGTTAACATTGGAAGCAGTGTGCCGCCTGCCTTGTGTTTGTGACGAGGTGACAAGCCGACATTACACTATCCTTATCAATCATTTAGTGATTTTTTTGTAACTACGGTAACGTTTAATAAGGAGAAGCTGCCAACCGTTAGAAAAACACTGACATTTTGACAGATACACGACATTCCTCCGCCTTCCCTCAGTTCTGCATGGAAGCCATTATGTAACGTTGACATGACGTTTGGTTATGTGCGGTCTCAAAACCGTCAGAAAACATCAACTCTTTTTGCAAGGTAAACAGGTACATTACAACCACGCATGTGGTCAAATTCAAGATATTCTTCCGTAAAGAAAAAAAAGTGTAATGTCCCCCCCTTAGCGGCCGGGGGATTTGACAGGGAGCATGCCCCATCTACAAGCAGTAGTGTCATCGCTGTGTTAGATTTGAACAAGGTATTCAATACATTATAATGCGTAATACATTTCTTTAAGACTCAACTCTCCTAACAGATCTTTTGCTGCTTCCAGTGTGGGGTTTTGAGAAGGCAGGTTTCGTTGATTCATACTAAGCATTTTACAAGTTAAGCCGACACCATTAGCTAGGTCACACAGCCTTGGTACAAATACTGATAAGCGGTCTAGTAGTCTGTGAACAGACAATTTCCTCACGAGTGTGCCGAACATTAAGTGCTTTTCAATATATAAACACATATTACAAATACCTTTTTTGGCAAAGTTTTAAAAAATAAGAAGTTGAACGCTAAATTATTCACCTCGAGTAGAGTCTGCTGCCACTTTCTTTGCCTCTAATGAGTTCTGGAATTCCAGGATGTCCGCGGTTGCGTGCGGACCTGGTTGAGAAAAGTTGTCGCCGTGCCCAAAAAGCTGAGATCACACGCAGTACCTGAATATGAGCTGCATTGGAACTCTACAACTACACCATCCCTGTTTGAGTTTAAACTGTACCAGAACTACAAAAAAAAGGGAAAACGTCCAAAACGGGGAACAAAACAAACAAAGCACAACGAAAGGAAAAAATTAAATCACCACCTGTGTGGCTTAACTGCATACTGTACAAAGTTCAGTACATTCTCATTGGAATGGTATAGTCTCTTGCTCAGAGTTCAAGCCAAGCATTGTTGTGTGTGGGGGGGGGTCTTTTCTTCTTCTTGGGTAGCAGTCTTAGCGGTCAGATGTTTAGCGGCTGAGCTGCGGATGATGTAGCGCCCCCTGGTGGATAAGGTGTCCTAGTGTCCGTTGGAGGCTTGTGAGGCGTTGTTGATCCAGTCAAGGGTGATGAGGGTCAAGCTGCCGATCATGACGAAGAAGCCACTGCACAGGAAGATGGATGCCTGGAGAGAGGGGGAGGACGAGATGGTCAGACTTAGCACAACAAACACAACAAGGCTTTCTATCTCCACTCTACGATTGATGCTCCTTGCCAGGAGTCACAGGCCACAACACCCACAGACAATTGAATGGACCAAAAAGGAGCGGGATGGTTCCTTACCCCGATTTTCTGCACAGACTTCATGGACTCCTTCTTGACCAGTTTGATATAGAAGGCCGAGGGCAGGATGAAAATCAACATGGCTGCCGCAGATGCACCTGAGAAGGAAGATGACAGGCTCAGTGGGGATGTTCACCTCTTTTCTTTGCCTATTACAATTTCTAGATCCTGTGAACTGCACCTGACCAACTGAACACATTCACTCACCGATGAAGCCGAAGATGTCTCTGATGGTGGGGACGAAGATGACCAGACAGTTTGTGCTGGCCAGCAAAACTATGGTGATGATGGTGTGGCGGATCCAGCTGAACTCCTTGGAAGCACACAGCAGCTGGTTGACCGACGTGCGGATCTACGAAGAAACAGACAGAGACGGGGGACCAAGGTCAACATGGTGGCAGTGCCGAACTTGACAATGCTCACAAGTTTTGGATGGATGGATAGAAGGACTGCTGGATGGACAGCCTGCCTGCCAGCCAGCCAGATAGATAGATGTGGGGCTTACGGGAAACAGCACCACAGGGACAGTCAGGGTGACAGCTGTCAGCACGGCCAGACGAACGATGAGTAGGATCACGTCAGACTTGTAGACCTTGGAGTAGGTGTGCAGCAGTTCGGGCTCCACATGCACTGTAAAGCCAATACAATATGGTCATTTAATTTATGCTTGTTTCCTTCTCACTTATAAAGCCACATATTCAATTAATTTCCCTTAGCCTGATGAGTCCACACTTTTCAGATATCCAGACACAGGGCCCCTACGGTCAACCTTCACTCAACCAACACGCCAAGGCCTTAGCCAAACAGGCTACCTGACCTAGAATGATACCCTGGCTTTCACAACTGCTGGGTCTATGTCATTTTGCTGTATTATTGCTATTGGTTCAGAAATGTCTTTGGAACCTGCCTGTTACATGTCCAGCCAAATCAAACTGCGATTTAGAGTTCAATTGGAATAAAGCCAAGATTATTCAAGGTTGTGCGTAACTTCATCCATTTTCGTCATGTCATGTCGTCCTTGCTAACTAGGGCCATTGCATAGCCATACTTTTAGGGAAGTCTGGAACATGGCTGGACACCTGCTGCGATGTCCTTGCCATAACAAATATGCAGGATCATTGGTGTACTGAACAGCTGATTGTGTGTCTTGTTTTCTCATGGGGGACAGTACTTGCGTAACAACTGGTAGTATAAGCCCTAAACCGACTGTTTCCAGCTCAAACTAGTTTGGTTTCCGACTGTTAAAAAAAGGATGAATATGTTTCTATGGGGGGCAGAGTTGCTCACCGTTGAAGGTCAGATATCCGAAGAGAGCAGCCAGCAGGTACATGATGAACATGGACAGGAAAGACACGTTGGCCACGCGCTGCATCTTTCTACGGGAACGACTGGGAAAGAACAGGAAGAAGAGGAGGTTTAGACAACACAGAACCACTGTTATTTTCTCTCCCTTTCTTCACAGGTACTACAGTGATAAACTGTGTGTGTGTGTGTGTGTGATTGTGCACTTGTGTGTGTGTGTGTGTGTGTGTAAAGCCTTGACAACGTGGCAGCTGTGTAAACAGTGATAGACTCACTCTTTAAGCTCCTCGTACATGGGCAGGACGGCGGGGTGGCAGACAAAGGCGAAAGTCAGGATAGGAACAGCATACACAGTCTGAAGGAGAGAGTTAGACAAGACAGTTAGACGTTTGACACATGCACACACACACAAAAAAAACATTCGACCGCACAAAAAAACATACAGGTACAAAAGCACTTGGACATCAATTAAGTATTTCTCTTTCTATTTATCGATTTACCACTCAACATATCTGTCCATTTCTCACCTGAGAGTTGAAGACAAAGTATTTGGGTGTGCAGACGTCCTCGTTGTAGCTGACGGCGGTGGTGTTGAGGTAGCCCTCCATGGTGTTCAGGACCTTGCTAACCGTCTCGTTCAGTATCACGTCCATGTTAGGGATGTAAGGGCACGGGATCTGGAACTTCTTATAGATCACCTGTAAAAGAAACCAAGCCCATTTAAACTCCCATACAAAAGGTACAGAGTATTGGCTACATACATTGCTAACTGCCAATATTATAACTACCACAGATTAAAAACTCATTACTTTTAGAAAGCAATAGAGGGAATAGGTGTAATTTGAAATGCTTGCTCATGGTCCAGCTAGCTAGAGCAGGTCAGAATTGCAAACCAATGTGTCACAGTTATACAGGTGTACTATCTTAATTTGACCAGTTTCTCACAGCAGGAAAATAGTCCTGCAGCGACAGGAAATGTGAATTATTGTATGGATTATAATTAATGGAAATGTTGTTGATACATTTTAGTTAGGTGGAAATTACAAACTTTAGAATACTTTTTAAACCTTGAAAACACTACAATTAGTTTTTCCTTCTGTGCAGGAACATTATCTGTGACAACAGAGTGATACAATTAAGATATCATATCTGTAGGTGAGCCATTCACTACAATAACATGAACAGTAAAGACCACAACAGCAGAATGGTGGAGGATGTTGACTCACCACAATCAGGAAGAACACCATGCAAAGCAGGGAGAAACCACTGGTGTAACCAAGGTAACCTGAAGTAAGGTAACAGAGAGAGAAAAAACTATTGAGCACTTCATATACTGTGGAAATGTAATTTAGTAAATATACTAACAACTGTGTAATATCCCTGTTATAACATATACATTTATATTAAAACGGTATTACAATGAATAAGAATGTACTCTTCTAAGGCAATATATTAACTTTATCAGTCAAAAAGGAATCTAATGTAAACAAACAGTTCCGGCTTCTCCTACACACATACGTTGCCACAGTGCGTCACCATTTCCCTGCCCTTTCCCAACATTTTACACAAGTGCTGCATTTTACAACACACGTAAACACACACAAACACACAAAGTAAAGTGCCACACTCTGTATTGTGTCTTACCGAGGTTCCTGAGAAGTGAGAGAGGCAGGATGATGACAACTGACACCAAGATCACCAGATAGTCCCCGTTTGCATACCACTCTCTGGAACGCACAGGAGAGACAAGAACACACGTCATACACTGTACACACATATCACCACACATTTTCATTTAATAACACACAGGTACACACACACTTACACACATTCATATCCCAACATGTATCTAGCTTTTGTGAAAAAATATTACCTATGTCAAAACTATTGTAGCTTTCGTTTCTCGTTTGACTGTTGTTTTGAATGTTGTAAAATACAAACATGGCAGAATGTCTGCAATGCACACAGAAATAGCAGCCTGCAGTTAGGGTGGTCTAGCTACATGTTGGCAACACTACATGAATGTTTGATGGGCCAGTTGGTTGGTCTGCATGAGCTCATCCAGAGGGCTGTCTCGGTACGGCACTGGCTTCTAAAAGGACCCTTTGAATGGCCGCAGAGAACACACCGTCCCTCCTCCCTCCTCTCTCTCTCTTCCGAGAGGGACAAAGAGGCCTCTTCACATCTTCCCAGTGCAGCACTCAAAAACAACCCGCCGCCATTTTGAATGATACCAGAGTCACTACTTCACCTCGAGGGTCGACCGCTCAAAAACAACCATGGGCCATTTGTCAAACCGAACTATAACAGCTGACTAAAAGACACACACACATTCACCAACGCACAAACAGAATCTAGAGACAAAGCTACTTACCCGTTGTTAGCTCCCATGAAGGCTTGGATAACGATCGGCAGCTCATACTTCACAATGTAGAGGTAGCTGGACATGGCTGCAAAGGTAAAAGCAAGTCAAAATTAGTCAAAGTCATAATGTGAATCAGCGACTTCACATCAAAATGTGCCTGTATTTTGTTCCAAAACAGACATCTCTGAGCCAGAAATGGTTCTAATAGCACTAACTAAGGATGAATAGGCCTATTGGTTTGCAGAAGGGGATGTTTGTTCCATTGGAAAGTCTAGTACCCTTGCAAATATTTATTCTAAACATTTACAGAACCAGGGGGGCTGCTCTTCCTTTTCTATGTGTGACATCACTGTCATTTAGACTTTGGACTTTATTTTTTCCACATAGTCAACTCCTAGTGGATCAATGAGACTGTCCGCCCGAATTTGATCTGTCTTCCTGAATGACCATTGATGTGTCCTTAGTTCTCACCTCCGATGTTCTGCATGGTGATGGAGATGGATGCAGCCAGTTTCCCGGGCATGCCGAAGGCCTTGTAACCCAACTGTTCATAGACCAGCGACCCTCCTTCATTGGCTGTCTTTAGAAGCAAGTGCACAGAGTACAGGGAGAAGATGGACACAGCCACCAGGAGAATTCTGTGGAGAGAAGAGGAACATTGTATCATGAGTAAGATATGGAACCAGGCCAAAGGACTGCTATTGCCTGCAAGACTCGTAAGGACTATTATCGACTGGCATTAACCACACTGACACCCTGTAACACGGTTGACTACTGACGATAAGTGCACATTGGATAAGTGCAAGCTTTGTTTCCGTGCGGTTGCATTTCACCAGTCCCAATTCATACACATTATTTTGACTGCCTCTCCCGATGGTTCCATCTGAACGTGGAGACAAACCACACCAAAGGTCAACGCAGGGCTTAATTCACATGGAAAATGTGTTCTGACCATCAATCAATCAATCAATCAAATGTATTTATAAAGCCCTTTTTACATCAGCAGATGTCACAAAGTGCTAGGACACATCTCACGTTGACCATGTTGAGGCTGGGGAAGTGACATGCAAGCCACCTACTCTACTGTACTGTAGCACCCAAACACAGGGATCAATAGGTTCTGTCTGTGAGCTGATCTGCAAAGACCTTGTCATGGGGACAGTTTTGATGCAACACAGCTATGCACAATCCAGATACAGGGATGTGATTGGACAATGGGCTCCAGGTTAGGATATTCCATCTATCCTCTTAGCAGCCAAGCCGTGCATAGCCAACACTGTCTCACTGTAATAATAGTAGCAATTGTGCCACTGTGAAAAATGATCTCTAAGCGATATGAGCTATGGTCACGTTATGAAGGCCTTGTGCAAATCATTTCACTCACACACACAACACACAGTAGTATAGAGACGATTACTCGACTATATCCGAGCACTGCTCTGTCGACTCCGCTACTTGTCACCGTTTACACTTCTGCCCATAATAGTTTAGTCTACATCTTATCACTTCATATGCACTTCACTGATCACCAAATATACCTTGGATGGCCTTAAGGTAATTGTTTTCACTCTGTAAATACTGAATCTACCCAACAGTGAAGTGTTTGCAAGTCCCATGGTGTGGAAACCTTTTGCAAACAAAGATTTTAAAAAACGGAGGCCTTTGTGGAAATACACAAAAGCTATGATACCCTGAAGAAGGTATGTTGGTGGAAATGCATAAGCCAAATCAATAAAGGGTTTTGCATTGAGTGCCTTGTTTTTTTACCCAGTATGGTTCATATATTTTACAGAATTTCTCCTATTTCACAATGCTACACAAATAATCAGAGGTATTATATTCATAATTCATATTCATAAGCTGTTGAAGCAAGTGGCCATTCAGACTGGCTACCCACTGGGCACAGACGTCATTTCAACATCTAGTTTTTTACATTTGGTTGAGTTGTCAACTAACGTGAATTCAATGTGAAGTCAACAACAACAAAATCACCATGTCATTGGATTTAGGTTGAAATGGCGTGGGAAAACACGTTGACTCAACCAGTTTTTGCCCAGTGGGTTACCGAGCTTTCCCTCCAGTCCACTGTGAGTGGTGCTCACAGAGTGTCATGGTGAGAAGAAGAAGAGTCTACTGGAATGGCGGGGGGGTGGGGGGGGGGGGGGTATTCTTGCAGGGGGCATTAGCCACCGCTTTTGGCTCCATTCATGATCTCATGTGAGATCCGTTTCCTGTACCTTAATGTAACTCTGGCCCCAATGCAGAAAGATTAGCGCTGCTAAGCGGCTTCCCCCCGGCTTTGTGTGACTGGCCCACATGAAAGGCCCCGATGCTAATGCACCACCCCACCCAACCGCTCACACTCGTACGCCCACTGTTTGTAAACACTGGCCTGCGTGGCTACTAGCTATCGTGCACTGCCCAGCGGTAATAGAAGCTTTGATCTCTGTAGCCTGCCTTCCTCTCACTCTCTTCAGGGTTATCCAATGCCCTGCCCTAGACAAGGAAACGTCTCCAGTAGACTGTCGATACATGCTGTATGTATCTATGCCTCACGTTGGTAGATATTGAGATGTTTGACCTTGTTGTGCACTACCTGGTGGTATATCACACCGCTAAGTTTAGAATGTGCTGTATTGCCTTAGATATGAGTGAGTGCATTCAGACTCAGAGCCATAGAGTTCCACAAACTATCTTCCACACCGGGCAACATACAGTGATATTCTATATTGCATTCTATTCAATGTGATTGTCACTTACATTTTAGTTATTTAGCAGATTCTCTTATCCAAAGTGACTTACAGGAGCAATTAGGGTTAAAGTGCCTTGCTCAAGGGCACATTGGCTGATTTTTCACCTAGTCGGCTCAGGGATTCGAACCAGAGAACTTTGGGTTACTGGCTCAACGCTCTTAACCGCTAGGCTACCTGCCTATCCTAATTCCTACTACCTACTTCCCCAGATTAATACCCCTGAGCCCCATTTCAATTGTGGATGTGTATTTTGAATCCAATTATTTATATACACACTAGTTGACTGACAGGGGGCGCTGTTTTGAAGCCACTGCGTCTTCATCTTGGCACTCCCCCCACCACTGTAAAAAATATTTTAGAAGCTATAGAAATGCATTTATTAATGTATACATTTGTTTTTGCCACATTTATTATTTTACAGACACCTAAATGCATAATTGAAATTATATTATGTGAGCTAAACATAAAAATTTGAAATTAAAAAATTATATATAATGTTTTTCCTTAAAGTATAATTTTTTGAAAGTACTAATGGTACCGTCCCCACTACAACAACAAAATACTTAAATAAATGTAATTTTGTCCTTGAAACATTTCATTGAAATACTGTAGAATTACATTCATTCCTATGGAGGACTGCTCCTTCTGTGGAGTACCAATATGGCCGGCCAGTGGCTTCAAAGCCTCTCAAGAACCAGTACACCAGCAATCCAGGGATAAACATCATTGGTGTTAACCACTTTAAAACAGACACCACTAGCTCTTCCTCACACCTTGCAAGCTGCGGACATTGCCATTGGATGACACAGTGTGAACATTCTGATTGAACCCGCAGTGCAGTTTTTCTTAATTCAATAAAATATATTTAGAAAGCCCTTTTTACATCAGCAGCTGTCACTAAGTGCTTATACAGAAACCATGCCTAACACCCCAAACAGCAAGCAATGCAGATGTAGAAATAATCTGCAATTGATTTAATTGAAGCCCAAGTCTGACTAAAACAGTACTCACACAAAGAGTGCAATGCCAGTGTTGGCCATGGCATAGGAGAGACCAAGGATGCCACTGCCCATAATAGCATTGCCCAGGTTGAAGACCGACATCCCAAAAGAGGCAGTGCCTGGATGCTGTTGAGAATAAAGTCAAATACCCAGTTAGAAAAACCCCCTCAAATATAAGCTCCAAATTGGTAGCCTATATGTTATCATGACAGCACTTACATAATCCGTTTCGTACTTCTTCTTGTCCAGGTGGTAGTCTGGAAGGAAGTTTTGACTCTCTGCATCCATATCGGGATATTGACTGGAAATCAAACATGCATAAAACATTTATTTAATGGAATGAATCCCATTCCAATTCAGCCTTTAAAACTTTGTTTAAAACAAACATAATACACATTCTACAAAAATAAGCAAGTTGATGACATTGCTGCTGTTAGAAACACAGGCATAGGTCTACTGCAGAGCATCTTCAGACCCAGTAGGCTGCAGTGCCTCACCTGTCAATAGGAGCCTTCTTGGTTGGACAGGAACTGTATTCATGACTATTGGAACTGACACTGCTATCCTCATCAGGGGAAATGTTGAAGCGGCTCATCTCGGTCTTTGCAGTGGCCTGTTTCATGCTGTAAAATAAACAAACGGAAAACCTTGAATCAATTTGTGTTTATTTGTGAACTTCTTCCCTGCGCCATCCCCACTGTCTTTTTTTTCTAGGACCGTGAGTTCTACCAGGGACGTTGAATAATCGATATTGGACAGGGAGAGACTAGGCTGCTCAATGCGCTGCAGCTACCTCATAAATCTGAAGTCATGTGACCAGACGAAGGGGGGTTGACTCATCCGAAGAGCCAGTGGAAAAATACCAGCCGCCCGGCATCCGCTCTATCCACATCAGCGCAGCGTCACATATCCAATATGAATGACAAAAGCATTGCGCAAGCCTTTTCATCCCCAATTTCAACGTTAAATAGAAGAATTGGCATAATAATGGGCCGATATATGTAATGAACAAATCCCGTTTATTCAAACAGAACGTGAGATCATGTTATTAGTTGAGGGTTTTAAATTATAGCGCACAGCCTAATCCAAAACATTTTAGGCATGGGACTGTTAAATAATTAGATTTTGGGCTCCATTTAATAAGATTTCTTCCAGACTGACTGATGGAAACAAAGGCACGTGCTTGTCTATTACGGGCATGGCACCATTTTGCGCAGAGCTGTAATCTTATATCTGTTTTAGATATCCTCAGCTGTAGTTTACAGTCATTCATTTGGGTTGCATCATTACTTGGGCATTGATGTCTTTTATTTACAAATATCCCGAATAACGGAAAAGACTCAACCATCAAATACATTACATTATTTTCTTGTTTACCTCCCCGACATTCCTCTGTAAAGAATGTAGCCCACTAGCGTACAGCATCAGTGCTATTTATTTATTTCCTTGTGAGTGGCCCATTGCGCTGTGTAGCCTAGGCCTATAGCATAGCATCATAAAGATGATAAAGAATATAGAAATAAAAAAGCTATAACCTAATAAATCTTATCTTTGCGCCTAATTGATATTGGCTAATTGACTAGGGAAATAAACTGCGATTAAATACATCGGCCCGCCATTTCAATACACAATATATAAGCTAATTATTTCACCTATTTTCCAATAGAATAGACTTCATTATTAACAATACAGAATACATTAATTTACTAGGCCTATAGAATTGTAAATTACAATCTATAGCTAGAGAATTACAAGATAATTAGCCTACACCCGGTACTATTTCCTGGTAGACAGTAAAAGATGAGGCGCAGACAGAATCTTACCTTTGAGCAGACGAATAAAATCCCTATGAAAAAGTGGAGATCCTTAGCTATTTTAATTTGAAACAATTCCTTCACCGTTGATTGTCTCCAATATTTTACTAGAAAGTATTTATCCTTGAGGTTTTAAATTCCCAATTATCAGTAACAATAAATGTACTTCAGATACAATTAAATTGTCCCAATTAAATAGGAAAATAACTTACAATGCGGATACAATTGTATAATAATAGCTTAAAAGCTCAATTTTAAGATGTTATATAAATCAATTTGCCAATGATATTATACGCAACTTCAATTTACGTTGTTCTAAACGAGGTGGGGTTTGTCTGCACCGTTATATATATCCAGCATTGCATCAGCCCGAGGAGGAAGGGGAGTGGCTTTTTGCCTTGGCGACTGGCATAGAATTTACACACGCCAGAATGAATGACGCGGTTTGTGTACAAACACACTGTCCAGTAAAGGGGGTGGTTCAGAATGCCCTTCAAAATGTGCATTCGGCTATCTTGATTTCCGCTCATGGAAAAGTTTAAGTCAAAATCAGATCATGTGTTTGGATCACTGTGTCCTGATTTCCGCTCATTGAAAAGTTTAAGTCAAAATCAGATCATGTATTTGGATCACTGTGTCCTCGTTTGTTTTTTTCTATGTGTTTCACAGAGAAGACAATAAATAGCCTAGCCAATAGGCTATACTTTAAACTGTAGCCCATAACGTTAGTAGTCTAGGCCTACATTCCTTTGGATTAAAGATCCCGGACATGCAATTGAATAGACGATGAACTGAGGAGAAAGCACAAGATTGGGTGTCAGTAGAATTTAAAATGCGACTCAAGCTTCAAAGAAGACCTCCCAGTATCAAGAAGATTAACGTACGCAAACGAATCATGTGAGGACGGTTCAGGTGAGCGCGCCAGGAATCCGTTTCATCCCAATCCCCTTGTCATGAAGTGACTCCCTCACATCGGCTTTAGGTTCACACTCTCGCTTCTTTGCGGGTCTAAGCAACGCGTTGGTTCTCTCACCAATGCTGTTAAAGTCTCACCAATGCAGTTAAAGTCATGTTTACACACTCTTTCTAAACAAACTAAGCTGCCCCCTACTTCACACACAGGCTCTGTCTCTCTGTTATGGTTCTCTGTGTCACGCACACACGCACACCACAACTGCTTCTTCATTGTAGCCCATACATGTTAGGCTATTACACATGTATTAGGCTATCACTTTATTATTGTCCATAGCAGGGTCAGTGTTTCTCAGTATGGTACACATTTGTAGATTGATTCAACTGGAGTGTCTGACATTGAGGTGAAATCACACAGTTTCGTAACAGAGAGGGGTTCATAACCCCTTTTCCATTTATTATGCAATCATATCAGCAGCAGTCTTTATGTCAAGCCTTCTGGACCGCATCCACAAATGTAGATTCATGGTCTTTACTTTGGCTTCGTGAACTTGTGACACAAGTACAAATGAACCCATGGCACTGTTAGAAAATAAGGATCTCTAAGAACGAGTTTGCAGATTAACAATGTTAATGTTGTTTGGTGGTATGAGACCAGTTTGACCTCAGTGGTTAGGGTTAGTGGCTGGTTCAGGAGATATTACTGTAAAAGGCCCACTAGTCCTACCTACAACGTCCACTATTTGTGCCAGGTTCATTTCTATGTGATAGCAGAATGGTATACAATGTAAACCATATGTGTAGGTATGAACAGCATCCCAGCCTTTAGACCAAAACGTAGCAACACAGATGTACACACTACACACACACACACATTATTCCCCTCTCAGTCACACATGAGTTTGTTTGTGTATAGGTCTGTGGGAGCCATTGTTTGGAGCTTTAGAGTGACCCTGCAGAACTAAGACGGATCAGGAAAGTGGAGCAGGGCCTGGATTTGTGCCGATTCCTCAGCCTCGCCATGGTCCCACGCTACATTAACACATAATTTACCCTGACTCGTCCAGACACAGGCCGTGGGCTAGGCGTGGAGATTATCTTAAATTAACTTTTGACTGATACACAAGAGTGTGAAGTCTAAATGTTGTCAATGTCTGTCTATGGATTTGGATGGAATGCATCCAAGCATTCTACACATGTGAGGATATATTTATATAGGACACTGTGGTATAAACTATCGTTTGGTTTGTCACCTGTGTACCCTGTTACTGTCCCAAATACCTGTATGAGTAGCTTAAAGCATTTCTACCTCCTTAAAATGCTGCTGTGCATTCTAGTTCAGTGGTGTGTTTCTAAATATATAGCCTACTGTCAGCTGATTGGCTGCATTTTATTTATCACCATTTCCTGTTTACTTTCTCGGAAAGGAAGTGACCAACTTGAAAGAAAAGGAACAAAAAGGCATAGCAAAGGAGATCCACTTTAAGATTGTGCCTCTTTGTCTCTGTAAGGCTACTATCACTGCAAGAATAACATCCAGTATCTAATGTATATATTTTTATATACAGTGAGGGAAAAAAGTATTTGATCCCCTGCTGATTTTGTACGTTTGCCCACTGACAAAGACATGATCAGTCTATAATTTTAATGGTAGGTTTATTAGAACAGTGAGAGACAGAAAAACGCATGTCAAAAATGTTATAAATTGATTTGCATTTTAATTAGGGAAATAAGTATTTGACCCCCTCTCAATCAGAAAGATTTCTGGCTCCCAGGTGTCTTTTATACAGGTAACGAGATGAGATTATGAGCACACTCTTAAAAGGAGTGCTCCTAATCTCAGTTTGTTACCTGTATAAAAGACACCTGTCCACAGAAGCAATCAATCAATCAGAACAAAGAGCTCTCCAAAAATGTCAGGGACAAGATTGTAGACCTACACAAGGCTGGAATGGGCTACAAGACCATCGCCAAGCAGCTTGGTGAGAAGGTGACAACAGTTGGTGCGATTATTCGCAAATGGAAGAAACACAAAATAACTGTCAATCTCCCTCGGCCTGGGGCTCCATGCAAGATCTCACCTCGTGGAGTTGCAATGATCATGAGAACGGTGAGGAATCAGCCCAGAACTACACGAGAGGATCTTGTCAATGATCTCAAGGCAGCTGGGACCATAATCACCAATAAAACAATTGGTAACACACTACGCCGTGAAGGACTGAAATCCTGCTCAAGAAAGCACATATACAGGCCCGTCTGAAGTTTGCCAATGAACATCTGAATGATTCATAGGTGAAAGTGTTGTGGTCAGATGAGACCAAAATGGAGCTCTTTGGCATCAACTCAACTCGCCGTGTTTGGAGGAGGAGGAATGCTGTCTATGACCCCAAGAACACCATCCCCACCGTCAAACATGGAGGTGGAAACATTATGCTTTGGGGGTGTTTTTCTGCTAAGGGGACAGGACAACTTCACCGCATCAAAGGGACGATGGACGGGGCCATGTACTGTCAAATATTGGGTGAGAACCTCCTTCCCTCAGCCAGGGCATTGAAAATGGGTCGTGGATGGGTATTCCAGCATGACAATGACCCAAAACACATGGCCAAGGCAGCAAAGGAGTGGCTCAAGAAGAAGCACATTAAGGTCCTGGAGTGGCCTAGCCAGTCTCCAGACCTTAATCCCATTGAAAATCTGTGGAGGGAGCTGAAGGTTCGAGTTGCCAAACGTTAGCCTCAAAACCTTAATGACTTGGAGAAGATCTGCAAAGAGGAGTGGGACAAAATCCCTCCTGAGATGTGTGCAAACCTGGTGGCCAACTACAAGAAACGTCTGACCTCTGTGATTGCCAACAAGGGTTTTGCCACAAGTCATGTTTTGCAGAGGGGTTAAATACTTATTTCCCTCATTAAAATGCAAATCAATTTATAACATTTTTGACATGTGTTTTTCTGGATTTTGTTGTTGTTATTCTGTCTCTTACTGTTCAAATAAACCTACCATTAAAATTATAGACTGATCATGTCTTTGTCAGTGGGCAAACGTACAAAATCAGCAGGGGATCAAATACTTTTTTCCCTCACTGTATATATATTTTTATAAAATGGATTCATTTGAATTATTACATGTTAATATCATATAAATGAAACCACAACTGTTAAACGTATTTTGCATGTATAGTAAATATAGTATATTACTGTAAGAGATGCTTTTGGTTTCATTTAATCTTTCAGTGGTTATAAAATCGTAAATATACCCACTATAGGGTTCACTCCGTTTGCAACCGGTTCAGGGAACAGAACTGTAAACCGGAAAAGAAAGACATTTTTCAAGGAACATAAACGGAACCTGGAATGAAAGTGATCCATACTGTTCAGGAACATAACCTTTATTTTAAAAGCATGGGAAGCAGTTAAAAACATTATTTTACGTTCCAGGCATTTTTTTCTAGTCCCAGAACTAAATGTAACAAAGTGCCTATGCAAAGCCCTCACTCTGTCACTCAGAAACATATTTGTGTCTGCCTGCAAGCTGAACATCTTTGCCTGTGCATGTTTAGGCTACCTGCCCCTCCCCCAGGCTACTGTACTGACATTACAAGCTTGATTCAGAAGATAGGGAGAGTGATTTTTTATTAGCTAGAGAAGAATGGATTTACTTTTTCAATGCTAGTTAAGGATACTATAGGCCTAATTATCACGTTTCACATTGGATTTATTAACTACAAAAACGTAAGACGTGTTTTTAATTATGGTGCTGCTCTGCACACACAAGCTTGTTAGCTCAAAGGACATTCAAAGTTACTCCATAGAAGCCGCTCCTCCTAGGATTAATTCTGTGGACCTAATTCAAATAATGCATGTCATAACAAGATGCCTGGCGCTTCAAGCCTCCTCCTCAACCCTCTCTTACTCTCTCCCCACCTGCAAAATTTCAGTTGCATCTTGCGCCATAAGTTAGGCTAAACTTGTCTGGCCATCACGCATGTAAACAACTAGCTTGCTTGCTCTTGTCACACTGATTTGTGAAGTAATTGAATGAGCTAAATGTAAAAAGAAAACTGTTGCTTTAACAGGTTGAAAAAGGAACAGAAAGGAACAATATAAACCATTACTTTTTTTTAGGTTTGAACCGGTTCTGAACTTTGTTTTTGCTGGTCGGAACAGTAGAACGAAACAAAAATGGTGGTTCTGTTCAGGAAAATTGGAAAATCATTTTGGTTCCAACCACTGGTTTGCACAGAGCAAAATGGAATATAATTTATGTGCCACTTGTTGCAATGTGTTTGTTACCCACATGGCAGCCAGTAGGAGTAGAACAGTCTCGAACCGGTCACCCCTCTACCCCCATGTCCAGGCCAAAGATAATTTCCCCATTGTCTTGGCAGAGGGCCCATTTCATTATTATGTAAT